CACTCTATAATTTAAATAATATAAATGCTCAAGCATAGCCTAGATAGTTCTAGCTCAAAAGAAAAAAAAAGGTCAGTGGGAAAGCGCCCCAAAAAACGGCTAACGTTACTAAGTAGTAACATCCCACATATTATTTTGGCGGTGACTTGAGATCTTGAGGCATCTCAAAAATATCTCCTCAATCAATATGTTCCCCACTGGAGCCATCGTTTAACAGTATAAGTGGTTCCGCGAAGCCTTGTACAGATGTTATCCAATACCTTTCACCATTCCAACTCAGGGTTCGAGGCTCTGACAGGGACATGTATGTTTTGTCACTAACATCCACTTCGTATCTCTTACTATTTTGGTCTCACAGATATCGTGCATGCGAAATCTCCATCTCTTTAAGAGTCAGACGAGGCCTACAATTCTCTTATTCTTTAGGGTTCATTCGTTTTCCTCATTATATATTTTGGTTACTCATTAACTCAGTCAATTGGCCTCATTTTTATAGACGTCATCTGAACCTTAAGTCTTCTTTTTTTCGTTCACTCACTCAATATTCCGTGGAAACATAATTCGGGATGATACAGTTTCCTCCCACGGCGGCTCACAGTGATAGTGATGACCGCGGAGAGTTCCAATCTCTCCCTCAACCACCATCACCTACAGCAGCAAGATGGGGTGAGTTTCATAACAATGATTCAGTCACCTCTTTAGACACCATTCAAAATAGTCGACCCGGCACTCTGCGATCATCGTCGAACATAAACTTAATAAACAATTATAGCTCGGCAACTTTATTACCTGGCACATCGACACCTGGCCCTTCAACACCTGGTCCAGCATACGGCTCTTCGTTAAACCCCTTTAATCATGGCCGTTCTTTCTCCGATACCTCATCCTACGATGGAGCAACAGCATGCCCGACACCAGCTTTACAAGATGAAAGTATCAGTTATGAAGAATTCAAGAAGGAAGATCCAGCGACTGCTAGAAAAGTCAGACATTTCAATACCTTCAACAAGCGATTCGATACTTCTGTCTATCAAATCGAAACACTACACAAGCACGATGACGAAATCTTCCTTCCTCCTTGGAAAAGAAACATGTATCGATTATCACCACTTTTCACATTCTTAGCCTGTGGCTCATACTTCCTTTACTACGCATACCGTATCATATGCATTGTTGATGTTCAAAAAGCATATGACAAGGTATATATCATGGCATGGCTTTTCATTGCAGCTGAAGGTTGCGTTGCTTGTAAGTACTTGTGTTTTGACATTTCCTCCGATTCTCCGTGTTCGATGTGTGTTGTTGGAGCCGGAAAATTCCCAGTTTCCTTCACGTAAAAATCCTTCCGCTTATCACAACTCCCCAAAATTTATTTCTCCTGCCAAGTCTTGCCAAGAGATCGCACACTTACGTCGAATAGGTCCCGCATTACTCCACCAACTGTACCAAATGTTATCCATTCGCGGTCGTTCACGACCAAAGCTTCGTCTTCGTGGTGAAGAAGTACCTACTGTTGATGTTTTCGTTACGTGCTGCGGTGAAGATGTAGATGTTGTTCTTGATACGACCCGAGCTGCTGCTGCTGGCGATGTAAGTGTTTAATTTCCAAATATCCTTCCCATTACGTAAATGCTAACAAAAACAATAGTACCCCCAAGACCGTTTCCGCGTTGTCGTTCTCGATGATGGAAAAGATCCCGAATTAGAAAAGGCTGTCAACGAACTCTCACTCGAATATCCTAACGTCTATTATCATGCCCGTATCAAGATTAAGGGTGTTCCACATCATTTCAAAGCTGGTAATCTTACAGGTGGAACCAACTTCGTGGTCGATTTGGAAGGAGGTGAGGCCGAGTTTATTGCAGCTTTGGATGCGGATATGATTCCAGAAGCAGATTGGTTGAGAGCTATTATTGCTCATATGGTAATTGATGATAAGATGGCTCTCGTTTGTCCACCTCAGGTATGTGTTTTTCTCAATGTTATTATTCGGAAACATCAGAGCTAGAGAACTAACAACACAACCAGCTTTTCTACAACGTTCCTCAAAATGATCCGCTTTGTCAATCCCTCGATGCCTTTGTTCACGTAATGGAACCTACCAAGGATGCCAACGGAGTAGCATGGTGTACTGGATCCGGTTATGCCATCCGTCGTGCAGCACTCGACGATATTGGAGGCTGGCCAGTTGGTTCCCTCGCTGAAGATACCTTTACCTCATCCCTCCTTCTCGGTGCCGGTTGGAGAACCGCCTTTTGTCATGAAGCCCTACAATTCGGTACCGTCCCCGACACTATCACCGGTCATCTCAAACAACGTACACGATGGACACTCGGAACGTTGCAAACTGCACTCAAGTTGAGATTCTGTCTATTTGGAGATCTAGTAAAAGGCATGAGCTTTTTCGCCCGTCTCTCCGCATTCGTCTTTGCCATCGACGCATTCTTCAAAATCTTCCTTTGCATCGCTCTCCTCACCATCCCTATCGTTCTTATTTCTGGTGGTCAACTAGTAGCCTACAACACCGAAACGCAATTAAAATGGCAAATCAGATTATGTTTCATTCAACTCGTGCTTACACGTCTCAACGAATGGATCACCTATATTCCCTCTGGATATCGTTTAGCGCAACGCGATTCCGGCGCTCAATTGTGGATGGCTCCTTTCCACGCCAAAACAATCATCATGTCCTTTTTGCTCCCTTCCTGGCTCGGTGGAAAACCCATGGCTTTCTCCAGTTCTGGTAGTCAGAAGAGCGACATCAATGAGCGCGATCCACGTACACGTGCAGGAGTCTTCAGACGTCTCTGGGTTATTCTTTGGGATTGTCAATGCTACATGCATCTCCTCTACATTCTCTTCGTCATTGCAGCTGTCACTTACAGTACCGTCCGTGGCCTCGCTCTCGATTCTGAGAATAATACCTTGAAGAAAAAGCTCGTTTACCTTCTTACCCATGCTTTCTGGCCTCCTATGCTCTGGATGATGTGTCTCACAGCTTGTTTTGAGCCAATCCGCTATGCAATTTGGCCACCAACAATGCCAGATAGAGAAGAGCTTTTGGATCGCGATGACAAGACGCAGATTGCGAGACCAAAGGAAGAGTGGAAAAAGGCGAGATACGCAAAGACGACTTTCTTCCACGAGTTTCAGTATACACTTTTGACAGGATTTACATGTATGGTTTTTGTGGGGGCGTTTTTTATCGACATCTAAGATGTGGTTTGGCGGGGTAGTGGGGGAAAAGAATGTGTATGTTGATGATTTTACATGGCGTTAATTTAATATACGCACGGGATGTGCAATGGAGCTTGATAGTTGCTATCTAGTAATCTATTTGCTATATGTCTTACTGTACATGAGGGAGTTTGGATACCGAATAATACTTAACGTATATTGTACGAATAGGATAAAGATGGGGTTAGATAGTAATATAATCTGACAATAGAATCGGATGAGATTATCATCTTGAAGAATGAAAAATTAAATAATATCATATGAACAATTCTTTTCTTTTACTTGCAGACTTGACTGAGGTGCGTGGTATGGATTCTAGATGATTTGGTGGCTTGCTCTAAATGGATCGACAGGGGCACGGACTACCCTGACTGGAGCTGGCGATTTCTCTGGAAAGATCAGATCAGGTAGTTTGAATTCTGACATTCACGATATAACGTTGATTAGACAAATAAATCTCCAATTTGGGATTAATAACTGAAAAATAGACCAGCTACCAAAATTGAAAGTTGGGAAGTGTTCTTCCTATCGGTACTTGGCTCTACTGGTGCGGTGGTCTAGAAACCTCACATCGTACATTTCACGGGATATTCCCATTTAGAAGTTTCGCTGCAGAGGACTCGCGATGATTAATTAGATCTTTCTTAGGAGATCAAACGAATTGCATCTGATCTAATCGTGATATTCTACAATAAAAAAATAAGCCTTGAAAAGTAACCCCCTGAGCTAACAAACCCTTCACGTCTAGAAGTGCGGGTTGCGGATGGGGAAATTCCACAAGCTTTAAATGCATAAGTAAGTCAATCTTCTATTTTCTGCCTACCCATATTCTGGGTACCTTGGGACGATAATCAAATACCTTTCTAAAGCATGTAAACTATTCGTTACATTTATTTTAGCTTAAGACTATTAACAATGTTTTATTATGCAAAAATTGAAAGAAATCCCCTCAGTATCTCTTTCCTCTTTAGTTTTCTTAATCAAGTTAAATGACCTCTACTCGATATGTTCCATGCAATCGTAATTGTAATACTTCCTTAAAAATCAATTTGAAGAATAATCATACCAATCTGAATATCACATTCCTACTGCTAGCTGTTGTTCATATTGGTAAATTGGGTATCTATTTCCTATTGAATGACCTTCATCCACCTACCTTTCCACAGTCCGAACCGTCGGATAGAGAAAATTGTGATATATATCAGGAAGAGAGTAGTCAATCAAGCTGCAAGAGCAACAGCGGCTTTCTCTCTATCAACTTCTTCAGTAGCGTCTATTCTACATTCTGCTGTGTAGTGCGGTGGTACAAGCTTTGTCTGAGAGGATTTTTGTAGAAGGATACTCAGTCGCTGTACTTTGGTCTTGAACGCTTGTTGCCTGCTAGCTGTATGCCCTCTTTTTATTTATTTTAGAAGCATACTCTTGTTGGAGTATGTTGTTGGTCTATTGTTTGCAGTTTCATGACGAACTCAGGGGTATATTTGAGCAAGATCGAATCATATTATATTCAAGACTATGAATTAAGGAAGAAAGAAGGTCGGGGACACCTATTTCTTATATACATGGGAGAAGACAGGAGGGTGAGCTAGAATCATAACACTAGTAAAACCATAGAAGAAGTGTTCTTGCCATTGATGCGCCTCTCCGAATGATAAATAAATTAATACTAAGGCAATACTGCATCATCTATATGATTTCTGATTTCACTATAGAGATCATATTGTGTAACAACACAAATACATGCAGTCATTCGTGTGGCATAATATAAGCTTTTGAGAGATGAAGATCTATTTTGAACGCTATGTAGAAATGTTCCATTTCCAAGATACATAGAGTTATCTCTTACCGATAGATTATTTCATTTTATCTAGATTATCTCATGTCGAGACAGGCGCACTTCATCTTCATGATACAAACAATTAGCTCAACTTTAGCTCGTCTGTCTCACATCGAGAATCATGTCTGTTCTCGTAGACATTCCGTTGTTAAGCCTTGTGCCTTAAGCCTTTCTCTTACTGCATCAGTAGTTCTCGGTATTGAGGACCCAACACTATGGATACCGTGATGGAATAATGAGTCGCCGATATCTGTTGTAAAAAGGAGATTTAAACGAGATCTCAGACATGGAGATATCTCATAATAGCTCCCATGATCAACAGGGTCATGTAAAGTCCTTCCGAGGGATTACTGTACAGGAACGGATGCAGTGTTAATCCCTCGCTAGTTCGGTATCAAAACTAAGAATTTCTCCTTCATTCTTGGTGTGTAGGTGACTATTCAATCATTTTGTTAATCCAAGGCTCCTCGAGCATCTGTTTCGCCGTTTTTCTATCTTCAGGACGCCATTGAAACATCCCACGCATCATTTGCAAAAAGACTTCTTTCTTCTTGCCCTCAAGACGCATCTCGGAGTTCTCCAGATTTGTGCCTTGCGGGATAGGTACCTCAGCTATCCATTTGCCTATATTCCCAGAAAATTAGCATTTTGTTTCTAGCCTATGGTTTCACCTAGTACGCACCTTCTTTATCAAAAAATTCAGAAGCGCGTACTCCTTTCTCAAGTAGATTTAACGGAGGGGGACCTAGCATCCCAATAACCTCTGCTAGATGCGCGCGAGTAGAGTAGCCTTTTCCATCTGGATCGTTGCCATGGAACATATGCTTGCCCTCAAATAAATCCCATATCATAACACCTACATTCCATATATCGACAGGATAACTCCAAGCGGCTTTTACCATAACTTCAGGCGCCTATTAAAAACTTAGTATGATCCCTCCAGAGCTTCAATCGCTGAGAGCTATTATGAAATGTTCTGAGATATAGGCTTCTGGATAAACGAAAATATAAGTGCATGATAATACTAACCCTGTAAATCTGGGGTCCCGCATTATGATTTCTTTTTAGGTCACCTTGTACTGCTGAACCAAAATCACTCAGAACAGAGTCACCGAAGAATTTTGGAACTTCCAGCTGTCTCGAGGCATAGATTGTTACGCCATTGACAAATTTTCGTGGGGAAGGATGTTCCATTTCCGCCGCCGTGAAAGCATCAAGGATAGATTCATCTTCTATCTGGGAAAGTATATTGTTGGCTTTGATATCTGCAAAGGGATTTTAGTAATTAACTAGGTAGGAGTGACACAGCAATTAAGACTTTATTTTAATTGTGCTTTTCAAATGCCATAGAAGAGGTGATGGGGCCTCGCACCTGTATGAACGAGTTTACACTCTGTGTGCAGATAGTCTAGTGCCAGGAATAATTGTTTGAGAGCGCCTTTGAGAAGTACCTCCGTGAAAAGGCCATCTGGAATCCGATGTCTAAGATCTCTGAAACTTTCCCACATGGGCTTTTGTACGAGGCAAGTATGGTCGCCACCAGGGCGAGGTATTGTGAAAGTTTCCAATGCAGTTCTGATATGGGAATAGCCAGGATGCGAATGATTGCCTTTGCTTAATTGTTGATAGATTTTGAATTCCTCTAGTGGGTCTCCATCACGGATATAAACTTTGAGGGTGACGTGCTTATGTGCTCTATTTTTTGAAATCTTCATATACAATTCTTTGCCATAAAGGAAGCTTACTGGAGATCACGAGCCAGCCAAACGGTAGATGATACACCATACCCAAGCTTTCCGAGGACCTGATATTTTGATACAAAGACATCTCCAATATTAACCGGATAATATAACCCTTTTTTGAAGCCATCAAATTGTTCTTCTTCAAAGGTTTGCGCATCACTGATTAAATCAAGTCCAGTGCTGGCAAGCGTAGGGGTGGAGATGGTGCTCTTCGGACAGCGGCTTTTGTCCATTTCAGAAGGGATGCCATTATCGAAGATAGAAATACCTGTTATAGAGTCAGGTTTTAGTTTGGTTCGAGAGGTCGATGTGAAAGAGTGATAATTGATGTGCATGAATTGAAGGGAATGTTTGAAACTAGCACACAGCCGGTAGGTAGGAAGGTATATATTGCCTTAGGTAATCACCTAGCCTAGATAGCCTCGAGATAGCATAGCTTGACCTCACAATTTTTGCCTCAAAATACAGGCTTCACGCTTCGAGCCATGCAAGGGAGACTTCTCCAGTACTCTAGTCCAATCACCAAGAGGCTAGCATACACATGTATTAAATTAATTCCCCCACATTATCAGCTCGTCGTTTACTCCTATTTCCTAAGGGGAAGAAGCCTCAACCTCAACCTTATCGTTGCTTTTCTCTTTCGCTAATGATTATAGCACCGTTTCCACAAGCAGTGCTATTTCCGCAAGACATGAAAAATCAAAATTATCAGACTGTACCATGTTCCCTTGTTTTTGTAGCAATTGTATCGATTGCTATGAGACAAGCACGTGTTGAATGTTTCGATATGCATTCGTAAGAAATGAGTACCGTAGCTTTACAGTGGTGACTTATTTCTTAGCTGATAGCTACTGCACTGTCAGGGATAGGAGTCCTGGGATCACTGATAGTAACGAAATCAGCTATAGATAGGGGGAGTGGTGGGAGTGGAAATCGGGGTATTTTCCCAAATACCCTGTAACAATGCAACGCATCCTTGAGTTCAAAAAGCGATACCGAAGTTGTTTCAATCAAAGGAGAAGTACTTATCAGAGTAAGACGAGGTAACTTGGCAAAGACAGCATATATGTTGTTCATCGTGACAATTTTAAAGCATGGGGAATGAATGTCGTCGTTCGTGAAAGGCGGAGACGAAACTAGTTAAGGTTACGCGAACCCCGCAATCGAAAATTTGCGGGGAAGATGATGACGTGGTTCGCAATAGAGTATGGTCATTAGGGCTTTGAGAGTGTGATATGGCACAATGGGCATAAATTCCTTCAAATTGGTTCTCGAATAGTCTGCTTCATCATGCAGATAGACAAGGAGCTACTCTTTCCACAACTAATGTGTACATGTGAGGCAAAAGATCCAACCTGATGTACATCCTCATGCCTCTTATCAACTTCCAGAAACCAGACGTTCAAGTGAAGAAACTAATCATTATTCCATTTGAAGTTCTTCTGGCTTTTCAGTAGAAGAATCCTCCTCAGATAGCTTCGTATCAAAGCCTGCCTGCTCGAGGATCTTTCGGAATAGAGTTAGTCTGGACAGAATAGGCGCTCGGATATAAGAGAGCCCACCTTCATGAGATCGAGTTCTTCCACATCCCCAGATTTCTCCATTTCTACCAAACGCTTTTGTAGGTCGTCCACCGTCTTCTGAAGCTGTGCAACCTGTGCCTCGAGTTTCTTGACTCGATCATCTGGATTAGTTCCTGTCGCGATATTGTCGATTGTGCGAAACTAATTGGAATGAAATAAGTCAAATGATAAGAGGCATAAAGAGGGTTAATGCAGATGCCAAACGTACCATGGTGGTGAGTTATATTCCTTTACGTTTGTTTTTGTTTTGAAAATGCTTAGCCGAGCTGGAGGAGAGTCGTTAAGCTGTGATAAGGATAGAGCAAGCTTAATGTATAGGCGGGCAATTTGATATATAGGCAAATGAGAGCGTGAGTATTGTGTGGCATGTAGAAGTTGGGGTCTCCTCAGAGATGTACAGGATACAGAGGACGAGTGCCATACTCGGATGTTGTTGCTGGAAGCAAATGAGGGGTTCGTGCTGCCAAGGTACCTAGAAACTATGAAGCGGGAAGTGATTATCATTTTTGAGAACACGAATCGATCAAATGATAGACAGCATATGCAACCTCCGCTTTGCAGTCGAGACAACAAGCCTTTGTGGTAGCTGAATATATTGCCTAAATGCACAATGACCCATATGTGGTAAAGCAAACATGCTCAGCTAAAGCTACTCAGCTAGAGACTGACTCGAGACTGAGCAGCACTAACTTGGTGTTGTGCATGTCCTCTCGATAATCATGCCCCACTGGCGTTTGATTGGAAGCTGAATTATGCATGTTGATTGCCGAGTATTATTTGAAGCGGTGGCTGCAGAAAACAGATTGTGCCAGCTGAAGCGCTAGCGATGCAGCAATGCAGCAATGCTCAGGTACAGTAGAACTTCATTATACCGTAATTGATCATACAGGAGTCCCAGATGTACCGAAGAATTATGAAGTTTATCTTAAATGTTTGATCTAATTTTAATTGAGAACAGCAAAATCTGAAATTTACGATTTCGATCTGAAATCGTCGTTTCCTGACACCGAGTCAGGAAATTCCTGATTACTGGATTTCGTAGGGTGTAGTTACGACGCCAAGTCGATCACCATGCTTCCGTCTTTGTTAAACCGATTTCGAGAGTTTTCAAAGTATGTTACACTGACTGAATCGCTCGATATCCAGCTCAGCCTTCTACGAGAAGTTAGCTGAACACAGTCGACGTGGACAATTTTTTGGGGCCCGCATGCAGATATGCTGAACGAAACGTAAGTGATGAAACACTTTACTTTACTCGACATTGACTTCTGATCGAAATAATGCAGGATCAGGTAAAGACAGCAGTATCCACTCCGATCTGCTAAAGCGGAGAAACACCTGTGGAACCTCATAGTAGCCGGTGACATAATCTGGTACCCGAATGTCGCAGAATTCGGAATAATCAATGTTGACAGCATATTGTGTAAGTGCGCCACTTGGTATTAGGCACGAGAGCAGTGCCAGTTGTAGCATGAACCTCGATCGAGTTTAATGCCACTGTTAGTTGTGGTCTCTTATATCATAAACATTTCCTGTTAAAACGGATATACTGCACCTGAACTGCGAACTGCACATTCCTCTTTGACTTTCCTTCTACCACACATCTATTCTGTCTTCAATCAAGATACAAAATGGCTGCAGCACCTCGTGAAGGCACAGTGTGGTTCTTAAAAGAAAGTCTTAAAAGTCCAGGCTATGATGGATCGAAGCCGGAAGACTTCTATTCGTGGATGCTTCTCGAAGTCGTTTACAACGCGACAGAAGACGAAGCATACATGTTGCCCCCGCCATTAAAGTACGGCGGTCACCCAAGAACCGGACAACAAGTCTTTGCGGGGGGCCTTGCCAGCACCGGGTACGGCCGCTATGAATATATGACCGCGTCAGTACAGTCCGCTGAGCAAGCGCTTTCTTTATAACTAAACATATACTTCAATTTCAAACTCCATTATCTATTTGATGGATAATGAAGATGTATCCTTCTTTCGCACCCCAACAAATCTCTTTCTTCTCATTTTTCTTTTCAGAATCTTGGTTCAATAGGCAATACTGACTCCCCGATCTTCCAGAATGTACGGCCCTAGCGCTGAGGACATCAAGCGCACATATCGCCTCAAATGCAACATTAGTCGTGGTCAGCTGTGGCGTCAAACAGGCTCTGCCGCTGTTTGCTACGTCGCAGTTCCCCGCCCAACTACTCAGGAACGCTTCTTCTGGGTCGATCTGACATACCCTATCAGGGCCGTCTACATTCCCTTCGCTTTTACTGCTCATCCTCGGCACAAGGAACATGCAATTTTCGGGCGTCTCGATGTACGTGGTCAAAAGGGGATACCAAAATCATATGTTCTCAAAAATTATCGCTGGAATTCGATCTCCCAAGTCAATAAAGCTATCGAGAACTGGAACAAAGTAAGGAATCACAACTGGGCCTGGGGTAAGCAAATGAATCAACTCGTTGCAATAAACAATAGATTGTGGGATCTAGCCAAAGAAGCTGGAAACGAAGGCCCTCCAATACCGGAGCCTGGACTCACACCTGGCTTTGTCAAGGCTGATGGAAAGGCGCCAAGTCAGGTTTTTGCTAAGGTCAGCTATGCCAAAGACACAGTGGCAGATGACACAACGGGATTGGGGATGCGACCTCAATGGACACTTCGAATTGATGTTTTCAAGTTGGCATGCCAGCTTTTGGTTCCAGAAGAAAATCGTACCGAAGAGTGGCAGGATATATATGCTTGCTTTGCCTTGTTCGACAGACGTTGTGTCCATGAATCAAAAGTTATCGCGGATATTGACATGGCTCAATCCATCGATTGGGCCGCTGCACAGGGGAAAGAGGCTGGCCTTAAGGTACAATACGTTAAGGAAGAGCCGCAAGATAAGTTTATCAAGGATCTTTTTGTTGGCTTTGTTGCCGTGGGACTGGGATTCATCCCCGTCATTGGACCTCTTGTGGCGTTTGGCTTCACTGTCACGTACGAGCTATTGGAAGATTCGGAAAAGTTCACAAAGGCTGCAGGGATTGGCGGCAAAGGACCGGCTTTTACACAGGCGTGTGTTGATTCTCGTGAGGGATTGAAACCTATATTCAAAGCGGGTTTCAAGGCTATATTTAAGGGGCACTTAAAAGCGGCTCCTCAAAAAAGCATTCAAGTCGATACTGGCGAAGAGAAAATCGAGGATGGCGATGAAGAAGATACATTCCATCTTGTCATTGAAGCAGGAGAAGCAGAAGTGTTTCGAGCTCGTGGAAATTTTGTTGCTTAGCTTTTGAATTTGAATTGGTAGGAACTGGGGCTTTTAATGAATTTGAATACGTACTTGAAATGCTATACTTATCTACTAATTCGTTATTGTAAAGTCTGCAATTACTCGACTTGCGAATAGGAGAAGAGAGAGTGCACTACAAGAAGAAACAGAGAATGGACGTAACAGAATGTTCATCGTTCTGTGAAGGGAAATTTTCCAGACATGACGAATGAGTGAAGGAGTAGTGGAAAAGTAGAGGAGAAGAACTATAACAATGGTACTTGAGATGTTCTTGAATTCATGTACAAATTTCCTTTTGATCCCTGTGGGACTGATTGATAATATTCGCACGGCACAAAAAAGAGGGTGTAGTGACAGCGAATGAGGTTGTATCGGCCTGTCGAGTTAGGCTTCAATCACGATCCTTCAAGTTGGAACTACTTCAGTTTTGTCGCAGCAGTTCGCTAGGACTACAATTCTCTCGATAGTTTATCAGACAGTATAACCGTGTCCGTTATTATTTGAACAGGTGTTTGAATACTTGTGTGTCCGTTATGACATTTAAATAGTAGGTTTGAGAATGTATTTTGATAACATGAGACAACTTTGTCGTGTTGTTAAGGTTGATCTGCCGTCTGACATTGTCTCGAGCGGGTAGATCCGAGTACCAACATTAAATTATCATGCATAGACAAGATCTGAGACTTCCCAGGCGTTGACGGTATTTTGCCCCCAACTGGGTCTGTTAATCATCTTGATTTTCTTTGCTTGATAGGCTCAAGAAGCGACTCCGCCTCTAAACGTAGACATAGGGTGGTGTTGTAAAGTAGTATATGATTCTACATGGTCATAAAAGCCGTGCCTTGCTTGTCATACAGTCTTTGACTTTAATACAACAACACTTTGAAATAACATTCCGAATTGCATAACTAGGGATCCGAAGGGGTAAAGCTCAGATCAAATTGGGGAATTGTTTTACAGAAGACTTTCTCTTGGCAATGCCAAAATGCGGCGATGAGGTTACACTCTCTTGTGTGAAGATCTTCTCGGGTCGTCTTGTTCCCGGAACAGGTTCTTAAGAATGAAGGATGATGAAAAGATATAATCCGGCATAATAACTAACAGGACATTTCAAAATTATATATCGCGAGGCTAGACCTCGATGGGCTCACAATAGAGGGAAGGGGCTATACTTATATCTTCGCCGCTATTGTCGTTGAGCCGATGTCATGGGAGTCAGGAGTTCACGGCAAAGCCAATTGAGAGCCACAAAGGGCCCTGTGGACTAAGAAAAATTATACTGAATCCATTAAGTAGCGGCACACTTTCCACCGAAAATAACTAAATCTTTTCCTTGTGAACCTTTTTCCAAAATGAGATGAAGCTCTTGCCTCCGATGTATCATATCCTACAAGCGATATGAGATCGCGCCAGACCGGTGACCGGCACCGAGTAGCTGTGCCGAAATCAATCGATCCATGAATAACCGTGTATGATATTCTTCCTCGGAAATAAATCTGTCCCAATGGATATCCCGAAACATACTAAACTCCTAACCTAAGTCAATAAATCAAAATCCATATGATGCAAGTATTATCGCATAACCAACCCCAAGTCCCTAAGCCTCGTTCGTTCATACATGATCATTATCGCAACCGACCGGCCTGGCGGTATCTGTATCAATCTTTTCAACGTCTTCCTCCAATCTCTTCATATGCAGGTGGCGGATCTTGTGTTTCGCCCGGAATTGTAAGTTCATCTTCTCCCGGAACCGCGATCCTAACTCTCGAGGTATTCGCTCTTGGAATCTCATATACATCGCCCGGCGCAGATGAAGAGCGACCCCGAGTGGGCGCACCAGGCCTCAACATAGACTCGGGTAACTTCTCGGGCGGGTAAGCATATGGTTCGTTCGCGAATGTTGGGTGAAGAGGCTTTTGTGATGTTGGATAAGGCGGATAATGAGGTTGAGAATGATGGTTGAAAGGAGGAGACGTAGTGATTATAGGCGGGTTATCCATGCGTTGTTGAGGAGGTGGTGGAGGAAACCATCGTGTTGAGGATGCGCCAACGGGTGAATGCGCATGTTGTCGCATCTGCGTTTCTGGATGCGGCGCATAATATCCTTTTCGTGGTGGCGAACTGGTATACCTCAGATCCTCCCTACTGCTCCTCTTATCATCTCTTCGATTATCGCGCTCCCTTTTGTCATATGTATATTTTCTTTCTGGCGAATCTCTTCGTCTGTGTCTGCGCTCCTTACTTCTTTCTCTCCCTCTATCCCTACTCGCATCCCTATCATAAGCGCGATCGTACTCCCGGTCGCGAGACCGTCTCCGTCTTCGATGTCCCGGACCGGCACGATCGGGAGAATAAATGCGATAAGACTGCTCGTCGAGGTCCAGAGCTTCAATCTCGAGGCGCTGCTTCTCTTCTTTGTGTTTGAGATGTTGTTTTAGAAGGTAACCTGCTGCGAGGATTTCAAGGCCGCCGAGGATGACCATACTGATAGTATTTATCTATATTTCTTCGAAATATAAATCTCAATTCTATGTGCGCAGTATCTCCTGTGCCTTGCTTGGTTAATGTGTATTGTAGTTAGTCCTCAGAAAACGTTGTTGATATAATATGAAGGAGTGAATGATGATTGAGTCACAAATACAAAACATGATCGCAATATCCAGTCAGCTGCCGGGAGCCGCTCACCTCAGCTCAGCTGATGAATATTTCGAGGATTAACCTTTCTGTTACACGAGAATTTTCGTCCCAACTTCCAACTTCATACCAAGACGGGAACATGGCACAATCAAAATCGGCTTGTGGCTGCCGATAGAGGCTGTGCGCGCTTCATTACATCATCATCACAAATGCCAAGACAGTCATGTGATACGGAAAATTGTTCTTACCACCGGCCTTACCGGATTAGATTTGATCCTTGAACAACCCAATCATACCTACCTAGGTAGGTAGGGGTGCAATGCAATGCGGCAAGTCAACAACAAGCTAGTCAGCGACATATGTCACATCAATAACCTTAATAGTTGCAAAAGATATTGCATACCTCTTGAAATTCGTTGATTTGACTCTATTAAGCCATCCCCATTCTGTTTGATCCTTTGAACCGAGCCTCCTGTTAGACCTACTCGGTCCAAAATCACATCTCTGATGATCAGTTAAGGCAAGTGGTACCTTATACCATCACTCCTTAATTCATTCTCATCGGAACAATATATATCATAATTTCTGTAGCCGAGATGCTACTTTTAAGGTCTTGGTACCTGTTGTGCCTGTCGGGGTATATCAACTTATCACACCCCGAACAATATATACATTGCCGCTCGGTTGAAAGTTCGCCGAGTTATGTCAAATGTTAGCACAAAAAAAACTTTGAAAAATCTTCTATCTAAGATCATCATTTGAACAATGCAATTAGCCAAAAAACAAGACCGTTGTACTATCTCCACTATGGCTTCGGATCTCGAGGAATCCACAATGATTGTCTTTCTGATTGCTGGAAATCTAATATCTTCCGAGCCGTCGTATTGCGGGGTGCGTCGGCAAGAACATCACCCCTGGATCACAAGCCCTATTTACTAAATGATGCTATTTTCAAATTGCTATATAAGAAATAAGTTGTACTTTGTGATTGATGTTTAGTTTGCTAACACAAGTGAAATCATGAGGTTACTAAACATCTTCACGACTTTGTGTCTCCTATTGTGGGGTGGAGCTGCTACAAATGATGGATTGACCGATGTTGTAGAATGGGATCCATATAGTTTGACAGTCAATGGCTCTAGAGTGTTCATATTGTGAGATTTTCAAAGTTATTATTCAATTTTTGCTAATTGCCAGTCAAGCTCTGCCGAGTTTCATTATCAACGGATGCCCGTTCCCGAACTATGGCTCGTACGTTTCTTTCCCCCCCAAATCTTACAGAGATCTTACGCTGGTCTAGGATATCTTCCAAAAGTTTCGAGCAAATGGTTTCAACACAATTAGGTAGGATCAATCTTGCCCAACCTGAATTGTCTGTCTAACTAGTATAGTGTATATTTTTTCTGGTCTTATCACGAGGCCTCAAAAGGAAAATTTGACTTCGAAACATCAGGCAAGAATGTTCAAAGAGTTCTTGATTATGCAAAGGAAGCAGGAATCTGGGTCATTGCTCGAGCCGGGTAAGTTAATTTGGTTCACTCCTTCAAATTCTCATTCCCAATGCCCAAATTGACACGCAACTAACCCCTCTTCCTCTTGATTTCCACCAATATCTTTCTCTGGAAAGAGGCATTCGCTGACTCCAAAATCACACAGACCTTATTGCAAACGCTGAGACCAATGGTGGAGGCTTCGCGTTATGGGGTTCCGATGGAAGTCTGGGGACGTTAAGAAGCAACAATGCTGTATATTATGAATCCTGGCTTCCATGGATCACGGAAATTGGAGGAATTCTAGCAAAGAATCAAATCACTAACGGAGGCGTAAGATTCTTCACATGTGTTAAAAAAGATCAACGCGTGCTAACTCCCAAGACAGCCTGTTATCCTCAATCAGGTTGAGAATGAACTTCAAGAGACAACTCACTCAGCGACTAACTCTTTGGTTCTTTACATGGAGCAAATTAAAGCTGCATTTCGAGATGCTGGCATTACTGTCCCTCTTAGTCACAATGAGAAAGGTCAAAGAAGCATATCGTGGAGTACCGATTATCAAAACGTTGGTGGCGCTGTGAATGTTTATGGCTTAGATTCGTGTAAGTACATTACATTGCTGATGCTCAATGTATTTTTGGCTCTAGTTTTATCTTCTATTGCGAATTGGCTGACACAATAAGAATGTAGACCCCGGTGGATTGTCATGTACTAACCCTGCCTCTGGTTTTAATCTTGTTCGCAATTATTATCAATGGTTCTCAAATTACTCTTACACACAACCAAATTACTTTCCAGAGTTTGAGGGTGGTTACTTTACTCCATGGGGTGGTAGCTTTTATGATGATTGTCAATCTGAACTTTCGCCTGCTTTTGCAGACGTCTATTACAAGAACAACATTGGGCAAAGAACAACTCTTATGAGCTTATATATGGCTTGGGGTGGTACAAATTGGGGTCATTGTGAGTGTGTCTTGTCAACACACATGAATTAATTCTAATAATCTGAATAGCTGCAGCTCCAGTGGTGTACAGTTCTTACGACTACGCAGCTCCTCTTCGGGAAACTCGTCAAATTCGAGACAAACTATCCCAGACCAAACTTATTGGACTTTTCACCAGAGTTTCTACTGATCTGCTCAAAACAGATATGATCGGTAATGGTACTGGATATAGTGTACGTACCTCATTGTATAGACAGACATATACAGAAACAAAACTGATCAATGATAGGTATCTTCAACTGGCATTTGGTCATGGGTTTTGCGAAACCCTGATACTCAAGCTGGGTTTACAACAGTTCAACAAGCGAAGTCCAGCTCAACAGCATCAGTAACATTTGATGTATATCTAAATACCTCCTTGGGTGCCGTGACTGCTTCTAATGTTAATCTAAATGGTCGTCAAAGCAAAATTCTCGTCACAGATTATACATTCGGAAAGCATACACTTCTTTTTGCATCTGCGGATGTCCTTACATATGGTGTTTTCGATGTTGACGTTTTAGTTTTATATCTCGAAGAAGGACAAGTTGGTCAATTTGCTTTCAAAACTACAAAAAAATTGACCTATCAAGTTTATGGAAATTCTGTTTTCGCTACAAATTCCACATCCAACTATACCTCGAGCTCACAAACATTCACATATACTCAAGGATCTGGTCAAACAGTAGTTAAATTCTCTGATGGAGCTTTAGTATATTTACTCGATCAACCTTCAGCATGGAAGTTCTGGGCTCCGGCGACAACATCGAATCCTCATGTCAAGCCAGATGAACAAATATTTGTTCTAGGACCATACCTCGTACGAAATGCAACCACATCTTTTGGGGTGGTTAATATTTCTGGCGATGTCGACAAAACCACAAATATTGAAGTCTTTTCCGGAAATAAATTGATTGAGGTTATTGCATGGAATGGTTTTCCATTATTCACAACAAAGACGAAATATGGTTCATACATCGCAAAACTTCCTGGTACTGAAGGTAGAATTGTTTCCCTGCCAAAATTAACCACTTGGGAATCTGCAAACTCTCTTCCGGAAAAAGAACTCTCCTACGATGATTCAAAATGGATTGTTTGTAACAAAACAACTACATTGAGTCCAATTGCTCCAGCGACTCTCCCTGTCTTATTCTCAAGCGACTATGGATACTACACTGGACCTAAAATCTACCGTGGATATTTCGATGGATCCAATTACACATCAATTAATATCACCGCATCGGGAGGTTTAGCATTTGGGTGGTCTGCCTGGTTAAACGGTGTTTTGATCGGTGGAAACACTGGTAATGCGACTGCAACAACTACCAACGCCATTCTCGATCTTTCAACCCACACCTCTATTATTAAACTCACCAATAACCTTGTCACAGTTGTAGTAGACTATCATGGACACGACGAGACATCCACTGCGAAGGGAGTCGAAAATCCCCGTGGTATCCTCGGCGCATCTCTCCTACCAAAACCAAGTAATTCCACCGGTTTCAAACTTTGGAAAATACAAGGAAATGCAGGAGGTAGTGCAAATATCGATGCAGTACGTGGTCCTATGAATGAGGGTGGTTTCTACGGCGAGAGACTCGGATGGCATTTACCTTCTTCTCCTTCTTTGTCTTCAAAATCTACTCCTTTGGTGGGTCTGAATACTTCTGGAATCGCGTGGTATTCTACGACTTTCAATTTGGCACTCGATGCAGACCTCGATGTTCCGCTTGGAATTAAGTTCTCCGCACCAGCGGGCACTGTTGCCAGAGTTATGTTCTGGATCAACGGTTACCAATACGGAAAATACGTACCGCATATTGGACCGCAAACAGTGTTCCCTATTCCACCAGGCATCATCAATAACCGAGGAAAGAACAAGTTGGCGATTAGTTTATGGGCGATGCAAGATGAGGGGGCGAAGTTGGATAGTGTGGAGTTGGTTAGTTATGGGGTTTATGAGAGTGGGTTTGGGTTTAGTAGGGATTGGAGTTATCTGCAGCCAGCGTATAGCAGTGACAGATTGCAGTATGCTTAGAGTGAGGGGATTTGGGGAAGAAGATGTGGGGATAGGGATGAGAGGAGAGATATTTTTGGAATATTCTTGCGGAGAAAATGAATTTCCATTTAATTTACAGTCTGATTTCTCTGCTCCTTTATTCTTCATTCTTCCCTTGACAATACTTCTCATCAAGACCACACTTCTTCCCTTCCTCCTTCTTTCTCTGCCTATTTTCCATCACTATATAAAGAAAATCCACATTGTCTCATCTACCACCAAGCATCTCTCTAAGAGAGTGCATCCCATCGAGTATAAACATAAATACTTTCACATATACATTCACCCATACAAGCGCTTCTATAGATACACTAATCTATTACCAAAAATTCCCAAAAATCAAAATAATAAATGTATCAACTATATGGAATGGAATGGAATATTCATTCCCCTACTCATAATCGGAAGACTTCTTCTCTTCTCCTTTTCTTTTCTCTTCTTCACAATCAAATAATCGATTCTGAAATCCTGAAAAGTATAACTTATTATTATAATCCCTCATATGCAGTTTAATTTAAATCTTAAAATCTAACTTGGTAAGAGGAAATTGATAATAAATGGAAGGAGAGTCAGGTGTTACTTGATTTTTATGGATAAACTCATTGATGTCTCGAGATGTAGGTATGGTAGAATAGATGAAGATGAAGATGAGGTCGGGTAGGTTAAGTGAGATGTTTTTGTATTTATGCATGCGGCTGGGATTTTTTGATGCGTTTGATTTGATCCATGGATGTGTTTGATTAAAGTACCTACTTGTATATTGAGTAGTATGTTATCTTGAAGATTGAAGAGGAGATAGAGAGACCTCTGGAGAAAGAAATTAAAGTGAAGATGTAGAGGAGTGAATGGATAAGTTGTTTGGATTTATTCGGTTAATCTCTCTAAAATAAATAGGTACCTAGGTAATCACATGGAGGTTACTGATTATTGATTATTGTTTTTAATATTCATGTCGTCAATAATTCTCCCTCCCTCCTCAAGAAAGGTCCATCGTCTCCTCTTCTCAAGCTCCTCTAATAATCTCTCACTCACCATCGTCTTTTCCACACACTCAGGTCTTGAGGTTTTCTCTCGCTCGACCAGATATCTTCCTTCTTTTCTTCTTCCCTCCCATGTCCCCAATCTCCCCTTCCTCTTCCTATGCAATCCTCTCCAGTCTCCCCTCCCCTCCCCTCCCCTCTCCAACTTTCCACATCTCTTCTTCTCCACATCTCCCCAAAGCCCTATCCATCTCACTCCTTACCTACCACATAGGAACCCACAAATCTTCCCACTCAATAGATAGCATTTCTTGTCATGTCGTTGTAGAGATGAATGGAGAGGGCGAGGATGGATTTGAAGAGGTAGAGTTTTTTGTTGTTGTGATTTTTGAGGATTCAATTTGGAATTCTGTTTCGGGTTCGGGTTCGATTTCGATTTCCGTCCCGGGATTGGAGTTGGAGTTGAGAGTGGATGTGGATGTGGATACAGATGTAGGTCTGGACATTTGTTCAGATTGAGAAAGACGTGCTTTGCTACTACCCAACTCTGGAATTCGGTCAGTGCGGAAAGGAAATCCGATGCTAGAGGTGGAAGTAAGTAAATCAGATTTCGCAGTGCCAGAATATTTCAGATCTATTACCTCCTTGTATCTTCCCCTTTCAACCACATTTCTCTAGACCATATCTACATCCCCCTGAGCCCCTATTCCAATCCCGATCAATTATCTTCAACTCGTTCCTCAGAAATCAAATCAACTAATCCTCACTCATCCATCTCATATTCCCTTCTTCCTGTCTCTTCATCGTTTTTGAGATAGGTATCTCTAATTATCTCTAGTAGCATCCCTCGGTATCGTGTTTCTGGGGATCGGTCTTCTAGATTTGAGATATTCTATCGGGATCCTGGATTTTGTGGTGGATTTTGCGGTGGTTTGAGGATGAATGACTTCTTCTCGTTCAGTGGTTTCGATATCGAAATCTGTATCCTCATGCTGTAAATCCTCTTCCTCCTCGCTATCTTTATCATTATCCACCGCGCCGACAAAAGAAGACATACGCGAACCAAGGGATACGTCTTTTCTTTCCCTCCCATTGCTACTTTCATACTCAAAATCATTTTCTTCCCTCCTTAACTTCTTCCCGGGTAGTCCCATACCCAAACCCCTAGATTTTCTATCCCCGCCCTCTTCCCGTGCACAATCATCACATCCGCATTTCGTCTCCAACATCCCACAAACCACCTCTCTCTTCCTCACCACACCTGCACCGCAGGAACATCCCCACGCTCAAACCGTCCTCCAAACTATCCTCTTCGCCAAAAATGCGATCACAAATCGATGTTCCCGTATCAACATATCGATTTCTCTCCACTCTCCCTCTTCCATCACTATCACTATCACTCCTATCGAAATCGTGCGATGTGTAAATGATTGGCCCCGCAAAGAAACCCTCTCCTCATCTTGAAAAACTGCTGATTTCTCTCTGAATCTCTCACCAAACGTCCCTTTCCTCGTGATTTTCGCTGTTGATGTAATTCTTCTCTTTGGGTTTGAATTTTTCTCTTGTCGTATCCTCTTTCCTTCTCGCCATCCCCCCCAACTCCATTCTCTCGAACGCTCATCATCTATACCCCTCATCTCCCTCCTCCACTCCCACCTCACCCCCCACCTATACTCTCATCCACAATCCCCCATCTCCCACCCACCCATCCCCTATATCCTCCGAAATCTTCTCCATTCTTCTAAACACGCTATTTCGTTTCATTCCCTGCGCACATCTCCTCACATCTCTTTCTATCTCATATTCTTGTATACCATTCGCGTGGGGATTCTCTAGAGTCCACTTGAAGACCCCGGGATTGTATTTTCTTTCGCGGAGGCTTGGATGTTTGATATGGGAGGATGGATAAGGTATCTGAGAAAGGGGAGTATCTCGAATTTGTTCTTGGTCTTGTTCCCGTTGCTGCCCGAATTCAAAATCAAATTCTCCAACAGTACCAGAATTTTCTCGGCCATGCGTAGAGATGCCAGAGTACGCGGAAGCTCTTGCTGTTCCCTCATTTATAACATCTTCTTCCTCATTCCCGATATGAAATGCATGGTTTGTGTTTGTGTTTGTTGTGTTTAGTGTGGGAATAATGGGAGATGGATGCGGAAGATTGTGTGTACCTGTAAAGTTAGTATTCCCTCTGCATCATTCATCCCACTTTCCATTTTCCATCCCAAAAAAAAGACACGCACGTACACACTCATGAAGAAAAAAAAAAACTAAAAAAACCTCACCAGGAAAACCCCACAAACAAAACGCCTTCCCACTACAACCCCTATACCTCTCTACCTCCCGCCTTTCCCCCCATACCCATCCTCCTCCCTTCTTCCCTCCCCTTCCAATTCCTACCAGAACCCACCTCCCATACCTCCCCCTCGTAACCCCAACACAACGCACTACTCTCCCCAACAACTCCTCCAAACAAAACACCACACTCCCCCCTCCCTCACCGCTCCCCAGCCACCTCAAAAATCTACACCTCCACCCAACTCCTCCTCCCCTCCTCCCTCGCATCCTCTTTCATCATCCCAAAAAACTAACCTTCGAACTCTTCCTGCTCTCCATACCCCCACGGGACAAAGATGGAAATTCGAGGGTTGAGATGCATACGCACTTTTCTCAGAAAAATGATTTCGTACTAGAGCAAGTATTTCTCTTGGGGAGGAGGGGAGAGGGGTCTGTGTATCTTTCGCAGACCAGCCGTGTTCAGAAGGATTGTAGGATTGAGAGGGGAGGGGCGAGTGGATATCCATCCAGTTCTCGTACGATGAAGTCTATAAAAGACCTCTGGAAATTTTTCCGGCGCGAGGGAAAAGGGGGTACTGGTATCCAGGTATCACTTGTTGATTTAACGGAGTTAATGGATTCTATCACGCTGTTAACGAAACATCCAGATGGGAATTAAGATCTAGATTCATTACTTACATTTACCGAATCATCGATGGGTCCAGGATAACGCGTATTCATAATCGGAGCAGAGATAACCAACTCGTGTCTTTGCTTAAGTTTCCTTTTTCGACACTTATATTTGAGATGGAGTTTGAAAGGAAATCTAGTCATCAAGTTCGATCTGAAGCTTGGAAAATGCCATCGACGAGCGGAGATTCGGGACGAGGCTTTGAGGTTTCGTGATCGAAATCGAAATCGAGATGGGAAACGAGTTCGAAATCGCCATCGTCTCCTAATACCAAACTTCCTCTTCCCCTGATACCTCTCAATCGAACCTTTTCTCCCTCGAAAAATCGAAAAGGATGTTTTAAATCTCTCCACCCTCGATCCAATTCTCAAACCCATCTTAGATTTTCTCTCCGCGTATCGCGATTCGCGAGACCGAAAGCACGAATTTCGTTTCGACAAAAAGGGGAAAGCCATCTCCACTGCACGACTATGCTGTATTTTAAATTTTTCGGGAGAAAGTGAGATCCTGAATCTTCGTGATTTTTAACGTTTGCTTTGCTCGGTTGAGCTAACTTGGATATGCCAGTATGAGAAGTGTAGTGAATGGTGGAATGTGTATCAAGATATTAACATAAAATACAGCCTTGAGAAAATTCAATCCAATCCAATCCAAGTTTTTCACTTTCTTCTTCTATTCCCCTTCTCTTCCTCTCAGAAGAGAAAGAAAGGAGATATAAATATCCAAATATCAAGCTTTCTATCCCCTCTTCTCTTCTATCGCATTCCCTTTGTTCTCTATCCATCTACTGTCTAATCTCTAAAAATTCCAGCCACTCCTTACACTCCTCTCGCTCGCTTAATGCATTGCAGAAAACGAAACACATGTTGCTTTATATCTTGAGTGCAATGACTCACCACACTCAAATTTCTTTCTTCCACATCTATCTTCATCTTCATCTTGATTTTCGCATAGAAGAAAGAAAGGAAGGAAGGAAGGTGTAAGAAAGTATAAGAAGGTGATGTTACAAGAAAAACATGAAACAAACCACAAAACAAAAGCTTCTACAGCATATCCATCACAGGAATGACTCCACTTCTATCCACGAGACAACATTTGCTTGTATGTTTGCTACTCATCACACATCCATTCATTCAAATCTCAATATTTGAGATTCTTTAACGAGAGTCTTGTGATTTTGGATAGAAGTGGAAATAAACAGATAACATGAAATGAAATTTTGGATGGAAGAAACACCTAATAATTTCATTCCAACTTACTCCACCGAGTGACATCAAGATCACCCCTAAGATCAAGATCTCATGGCCTTATGACCTTAACCTCACAATCAAAATGAAGTTTCTGATGTTTCTATCTATCCCATGATCTTTCCCTCTCTCCATCTGTAAAACTTTTTCTTTCTCTTTCTCATCATTGTCTCATCATTGTATAAATAAGTAAGTAGGTACTTACTCTCTTACTCACCTATTCAATCTTTCCCATCAACCCCTCTCTTCCCACAATTTCCCAAATCACAATTTGTATTCGCCCTACCTCACACGTACATCTACATCTACATCTAATCTCCATCCACATCATCTCCATCCACGATGTCCAAACCCAACGAACCCAACAACTCTCCTGATCCCACTGATCCCAACAAGCAAACCATCGAATCAGTCTCCCTCCCCCAAATCTCCATCCCTTCCACATCCGATTCCCCATCACCATCACCAACCTCTCCATCATCCCCTCCTTCCCCTCCCCAGGCAGTTTCTCATTCCCATTCTGCCGATTCTCCCTCCTCTCCTCCTTTTCCTCTTCCCACTACCCTTTCTCTCATATCTCTAGAAATAGAATCAAAATCACACTCACACACACACCCATCCTCACCCTCAAAAGATGAAGAACCCCCAAACCCCCCAGCCGAGCCTTCCACAGAAACTCAACCAAGCTCTCCAGCCCCCGACCAACCCGGCCTCTCGCTCCCCCTCTTCGCATTCACCTCCTCCGAATCTAAAACTGCCCTCATCAATTGCGGATTTATAACTTTCACTCCCGAGGAACTAGACAATGCAAGTTATGATTTTCTAGTAGCGCGGGTAATCATCTCCATCGAAAAGAAGCTTCGATCGCAAAGAGAAGAGGCGCAGAAACATGTTGAATGGATGGAAGGTATATTGAAATTCCTGATATTTTGAGGGGTCTAGCTAACAGATGAGACGAGGTAGAGAGTGGAGATGGGGGAGAAGGATTAATGGGGGATGGGATTAAAGGGGGTGAGATGGGTGATGGTGGTGGTGTTAGTAGTGTTAGTGGGGGAAATACTCTCACTCATAGCGCACTAGGAAATCTAGGGAGTAGAGTAGGAGAAGTAGGTTTAGGGAGCGCATTGAGACGGGAACAAACATCCCACTTCCACGGAGGAGTATTAGGGATATTTGGTCAACACAAGAGCAAGGGATCAAGGGGGAGAAAGATCGGAAGAAGAGGTGGGAGTTCCAGATCTATGAGGATCCGGTTGATGGAAAGCCCGAAGGGTTTGAAACTACAGAGATGAGGGAGATGCGGAGAATGAGACCGGCGGGGGAAAGGTGGGCGATCGAGCTGGCGAGTGGAGGACAGCGAGTGCGAGAGTGTGCGGGGGAGAATCAGGAGAATGAGGAAGGGGGGAGGAGTCGACAAACACGACGGGATGAGGATGTTGGAGAAAGTGGGAACGACGAGGTGGATGATGATGGTCAACAACCTGCAGAACCCCACCCCACCAGATCCGCACTTTCTCCCCCTCCCACACAATCGCGAATCCCGCTCGCTCCTCTCTCCCGACTCCCAAAACACAAAGAATGCAAGCCCATTACCCTCTACATCCACTGGAACCCCGAACCTCTCATCCCTGCCGCATATGTCGAAAGAACAACTCGTATGTGTCCTATCGTTGGCGCATCAAGAAGATCGCTTTTCCAGCCTGCGACTCCTGGGGATGGGGATAGGGATAGGGATGGAGGAAACTTAGTTAAGGAAGCTGAGAATTTACCGGCGGAGGATGAAAGTAATAGGGAAGAAGAAGAAAATCCCGCCCAAGCCCGCGCCGCCACTCTAAATGACCCCATCGAAACCAGCTCAACAACCGCCCTAGAGAACCTCCAAAAAATGAATCTCACAACCCTCCACCCCTCCTTCCCCACCCACCTACAATTCGGCGATCTCTACGGCGACAGCGACAGCGACAGCAGCAGCACCGCGACAAACTCAGAAGGAATTCAAGAGATGCTTCGATTTTTACACGAGAGAGGAGGAAGAGATGAGTTGATTGTGGAGTATCTTCTTTTGTAGCTATATGTAGGCTACTATTTATAAAAAGAAAGAAAAAACCAGTTAGTTCTAATCAAAAAATAAAAAATAAAACCCATAGCTACCAACTAACTAATCAAACCAATCAAACAATCAAACCATCAATCAAGAAAAATTGTGAATCAACTACCTACCTACCTCCTACCTAACTATAGCAACTCCAACCATCATCAACTCAACTCAACTCAACTCAACTCAACTCAACTCAACTCAACTCAACTCAACTCAACTCAACTCAACTCAACTCAACTCAACTCAACTCAACTCAACTCAACTCAACCCATCACCAAACCCAATTCTCAGTCCACCAGGTCTGCACACAGTACCAAGCCAACACCAACAAACTAGGTACCTACCTACCTAGGTACTTCTTCTGAGTATCACCAATAGTGACAATTGATTGGTCAACCACCACTTCCCCCCAAAAAACACCACCCCAGAAATACCCTCAAACCTCAACCTCCAAAAACCATCCATCCATCCATCCATATTCCCATCCCCCTCGCTGGAATACCTAGCATCTTCAAATTTCACCTCACCCACCAACTTGAAAAGGGAAGAAGAAAGAAGAAAGAAGAAGGATGGAAAAGTAAAGATCGAACAATTTTTCAGACATGCAACAAAACGATTTTTTTTTCCGAACGAAAAATTGTCACCGTCCACGTGATTATGGCAGAATAATTTTGTTTGGATCATTGTCCGCTTCAATACTTGCCGGGAGCTATCGATTAGTATGATTGATCGATTGTATTGGTAGTGGGTAGTGAGTTAGAGAGCTGACATTATGTTATGATATGTTGAGATTGAGATTGATTGAAAACGATGTGTATATTTGTAACAGAACAGAATATTATTAAAATTGGTTGTCTACAACTGATAGTGATGACTAGAGAGCCGAAATAAAAAGCAAGATCTAAAAGAACAGCCAGGTCTACAGAGGAAACAATAATGAATTCATTTATTGCTATGTTATATTATCTGTGTTTTGCTTTGCTTTGCTATCTTTTCGCAAGATCGTAGTGTAAATCTGTAAAGGCAGGATAATTTAGGAGCCCTTCCGAGATCTATAGTTCGATTTCATTTCCACAAAGATTGAGTCACTCGTAAAATTGTGATGTGATTCGATAGTTTTCATTTTCCGACTTGGTTGCAAATTGGTCGTAGATCCTCTGCTTCCTTAACAACCCATCATAACACAGAAGGTTTGAAATAACAAACGGGATATGTTGTGCATCAAACGGAGATTGGATGATTGGAAGAGGAGATTGATTAAGACTAATCATTCGTAAAAGGAAATGGGTGCGAATGATGTCAAGAATATCAAGAATATCAAGAATAAGCAAGCAAACATATTTGAACATCTGCATGGGCCAGTCTTATTACATGTACCTGCATGTAAAATAGACACCTCAATATGGCAATTGGGAAAGCACTTGCTCTAGATGTGCTTCTATTCATTCAATCAGACAAGGCAAAACACAATAACTGTAGAGAGAACATCGAAAGATCTGGACCTATTCTTCCGCATACGCCGAAATACCCCTTGCTCTCAACGCGACGATCTTGTACAACGATGCGGTGGCAAAACTTTCACTATTATCCATCCTGAACATAATATAGCATCTCTTCTCGGGTCGGCTGAAACGGGATACCAAGACGAGCATCTCAAAGAATCAAGTACGTACCCGTCGGAAAATGAAATGATTTGTTGCATCAACAGGGAGTAAACCAAATCAGGAATAATTGACTTCGGTTTGTACACTCCGAAGTCTTTTCGCAATTGTGTGAAATGCCATGTCACTTGAACATCATGCATTCTTCTTTGACACACTCCGAATGGACCGATGGTAAGTCTTCCATTTATTTTCTTCTTTTCCAAAGGAATAAGATCCTTGAAATCTTTGTTTGACTGCATGAGAGATTTTTCCCTACAGTAGCAAGAGAATCTTCCCCGTAAGATATCCTTCCACGCAGCAACTAAACATGCATGATTGCCGTATGCAGGTACAACAAATGATACATTGGTCGATTTTCAACAGAAAAAGATATTCTATCATTGGTGTCTCGGAAGATTTTTGAAGAGAAATTCCAATGTCTAATTGCAATTAATACAATGTAATTTCTGATTGAGAATTGGAAGAAGTGTCTAGAGTTTAATTGTAAACTTGGATGTGAAGTTGAAATTCATGAAGAAAGAGACATCCTACCCCTCTCGTGGAATGAATGATGGAAAGAAACAATTACACTCATCAGCCAGTCAGTCAGCCAGTCATCCAGTCATCCAGCCAGCAACCAACCAACCAGTTCCTTACCGCTCGGTTTCCACCATCACCCCGGATTTTCTTTATGATCTGTGGGATCCAGGATATGAAAAGCTGGCGTTTGTGATGTAACGGTTATGAAAAGTCATTGGTGGGGAAAGGGTAAATGATATGATAAGGAGAGTGATATGAATATTAATGCAGGTTAAAGCGGGAGAACCTCGTTGTGGTGGATGTTTGTTTGTTTTTTTCTGCTGCAAAAGAAAACACATGTTGTCGTGGAAGATAGCTGGAGCTGGGTATGTAAATTAAAAGAACCAAGAGAATCGGGGCCAAGTATTATTGTTATTGTACTTCGTATACGGAGGACATTACCTCGTAATGAAGATGAGATGCAAAAGAATTGAGCCTTGATCGATCCACTTCAGTAATAAAGTTTGGAATATTGATTTCTTGGTGAGTGGAGATTGAATGGATGAGTGAGCGAGCAAGCGATGGAGCGGTAACGAATGAGTCTCTATGTAATAAGGAATGCATTTCTACTCTATCGGGGGATTCTCTTCTTTTTGTTTGATTCTCGCATCATGATGAAACTTTTCTTAAACTTTTCTTAAACTTTTTGGATATTGATCTGGCTTATCTTTAGTCGTCTGGTCGTCGTTAGGATTATTATTAGTTCCCGGTAGAAGTGGTAATCGATAGGAATGGTATTAGTCGGTCGGTAGAAGCGATTGTAGTATATCTAGTCTACCAAGTGAGTTTACCCCTGACGCTACTGCAAGACCGAAGAACTTGTAAGGGATCTAGGAGATAGTAGGTAAGCAAACCACATTATATCACATCACTACTAGAAGTGGAAAGGGAAAGGAAAGGAGATTGAGATTTAGATATCGATATCTTTTATGATGGATTGATGATTGATGAGTTGTGGGTTGTGAGTTGTGAGTTATAAATTAATTGATTATATAATTCATCAAAAATAAGAAGGACTGTAGAAGATATTAATGACATTAATAAAACGATATTAACGATATTACTTCTTGATCATGAGGTTATCTAGATGTGATTAAATCATGTATGGTAGGTATAGTAGGTACAGTTATCAAGGAAAATGCTTGTGAATAGAATTGAGTGAAGAATGACAGATGGATAGACAACCTTCTTTGACCGTTTTTGACAGTTAACTTATTTATGTTAAATCTTCTTCTTCTTTTACTTCTTTCTCTCCTTCTCCCTCTCACTCCTCGTCTCCTTTCACAAATAACCAACACCACCCACCCATTCTCACAACGTCCCTCTTTGCCCAGTTATCCAAGTGTTGCCAAGACCAAACATTTCAATCCATTTTTCCCATAATCCTCCTGTACAAGTTGTTTGGCTGATCTCTGGGAACCAATGATGATCGACGCCACATCTTCTCATTCGTCCGTCGCCGTAAATTAATGTTGGCATTGATCCAATGATATCTGGTGTGTACCTGCATCGTCCAGACGAGATCTAAACTCCATGTGGCATTAGTCCCCGGATAAAGTTGAGCAGAGGTGATAGAGTTCTCCAAATGATTCTCAAATGATTGTCCAATAATAATTCTCAAAAGGGATCGATCATTTTCCGTCCTGGTCAAATGGCTTTCCCACTTCTTTCCTCTCGTAGAATTTCGTCGTGCATACCTAGGTACATACTAGGTACATACCAGGTACATACTAGGTACATAGTATAATAAAGTTACATGGTCCTGGCCTGGTTATGATGATCCACTTTCACGATATAAGATCCTCATTATAATCTCTCTCCTGCTCTCACTTCTTTCTTCACTCACTTACCTCATTCACTCCAAATACATCTCACATTCACTCTTTCACCTCTTCGCCTTTTCATCGCAATAATACCCCCTCACCCGACTTTTGGTCACTTACATTCGTTTCTCGTAAACAAATCCAAACTCTCAAATAATCCAACCATAATCCACCACTTATTACTTAATAATATCAATCGAAATCTTTCAAGATGCAATTCTCTACCGTCGCCATGATCTCTGCTCTCGCAGTCTCCGCCTCCGCCAACGGAAACTCCAGCATGTCTGCTGTCTGGGTTACTGATGTCGTTACTTCCTTCGTCACCGTCTGCCCAGCTGCAACCAGTTTCTCCTTCAATGGTGTAACTTACACTGCCACCGAGGTACTTCTTCCCACCCGAAACATGAATACATGGTCGTTTGGCGCGGTCCATTCAGAAGAATCCAGCCACGCGATCTACCATTTCCTCGTTTCAAGATGGAGTTACCATATCACAAAATACTAATGCGCTTCACAGAGTGAGACCGTCACCATCACCAACTGCCCATGTACAATCTCCAAGCCAGTTTACACCACCTCTTCCGTCATCTGCAACACCTGGTATGTAGTCCCATGACACAGAAGATGAAATCTTCACAATGCTAACATCTTCTAGCACTGCCGCCCCAACTGCTCCAGTTAGCTCTGCTGCCATCAGCTCTGCCCCCGCCTGGGGTAACAACACTGCACCAGCAGCAACCGGTGGCGTTACCACCAGCAAGGGATCATCCGCCGGAACCACCTCTGCCCCAGCCGGATCCAGCCCATCTGCTTCCACCACTGCACCCATCGTTGTATCCAACAACGGAAACCGCGCCATCGCACTCTCTGCTGCCAGCCTTGCTGGTCTCCTCGGTGTTGCTGCTTACATCTTGTAAGAAGTCCATTTGAAAGAAACACGAATCTCCACGTTGCATTTCTTTCCTCGCATGGTTCGTTCATGGATGTGAAGATATACCTATTATCTTCCGACGGATAAACAATCTACCATTCCTGACTGCGCATCGAATCCTTTGCAATAACTGGAAGACATCGAAATCTGGAAATGAAGGAAAGGAGATTTTTCAGTGGTGGGGGAATGGAAATGGGTACAAAATAATTCGTATGGATTGAGTGATGCCAATCACATAACGATGGTGTTTTTATTTTTCAACTTAGCATCTGAGGATTGGTTTGGAAGGAATGGGATGGAAGGTACTTTTTAATTTTAAATTCATGACTACAATTTTCTCGCTCGAAATGAGATACCTACATACCTACTATTTAAACTACCTACCTTTCTTGTCTTGGCTGTGTAGTTTAATGGAGTGCTTGCTGATATGTGGTGAGGAGGGCAGGAGAGAGGAGATGTTATTCTATGAGAATGCGAGATGGTATCAAGGAGTTCTAGACGAGACGAGATAAGAGTTTTCTTTTTTTCTTTCTTCCTTTCTTCCCTTCCTTTCCTCCTTGAAATACATAACAGAAAAAAAAATGAGAAAATAGAGGAAGGAATCTATCAATCAATCAATCAATCGATCACTTTCCTTATATCTAATATATTATACTCGTCTCTTATACTTATGATGTGATATAATGTGATGTGATAGATATATGCACCTCATTCCACTCCATTCCATTTCATTCATTCCATCCCATTCATTCCACCCCCTTACTTCAGATTGGTAGGTAGATAGGTAGATAGATAGATAAGTAGATAGGTATTAGATATGAAATTGGAATTAGAATTGAAATTTATATATTTTTCCAAGATTCAGATAGGTATGACCGGACTGATGGAGATAGATACCTAAATAGAAGTAGATATAATAATATATCTATCTACCTATCTATCCATCTATTTCGAGGCGAGCCAGCTCGCCAGTGTTTCGGAGCGCCTAACATTCGATACCTAATAAATCTTTGATATCAAAAGATTAAAAGTAAAGCTTATTCTTTGTTTTTAGTTTTCTTTTTCAATTCTTTATATAATTGAACTAATAAAAATTATGGTATTCTATCCAGATGATATCACTACATACAAATTAGATTCCTGGGTATAGAAAATACAATCAATATACCTAGGTAGGTACACTATACAAAAATTCCGTAAAATTCGACGCATAGGTTTCTTTTGCTATGCTTCGAAATATTTACCTATCTATTTATTTATCTATTTGTTTATTCAGATATCAATATATTACTGTCTCGTCTCAAGATTTCACATATCTGATAGGCAGAAAGGGAAGTTGGAAGTTGGAAATTGTATTTATTGAACTGTGCTGTGTGGAAGTAAGGGGAGGGATGGGAAGGGATGAGATGGATGAGAAGTCTGTTAAGAAGTCTGTTAAGAAGTTTATTGAAAAGAAGCTTAGGTTATGGGAAGTTTGAGTAGTGGGAAGTTCGGGTAAGTGGAAGCTTGGGTGGTGGATGGATAGATATCAAGAAAGAATAATGTATGGTTTATTTATATGTATTTATAGATTTATGGGATTGTATTTGGGTAGGTGGGTAGATAGGTATGGAATTATGGATGGATGTGAATGAATGAGAGGGATGAGAGGGATGAGAGGGATGAGAGGGATGAGAGGGATGAGAGGGATGAGAGGGATGAGAGGGATGAGAGGGATGAGAGGGATGAGAGGGATGAATAGGAGAACAGATCAAATTTGAATAGCCTGAATATAAATATATTCGAATATATCCCTCTCTATAAGTACTCAATATATATAATATTCAATATATATACACCCATATATCTATTTACCTATTCATTTTATTTATCTATCTACCTACCTACCTACCTACCTACCTACCTACCTACACAGTAATAGTAAATAATAATCCAAACATTAACTTAAATCTTGAATGCCTATCTAGATTCTAGTGCCCACTAGGTACATACCTACCAAGATATAACATGGCATTGAATAGGAGATGGATTCATCCTCTTACTACCTAGGTATATATGTACCTAGTAAGCATGAAGTCTATACTCAAAAGCTATCATGTTATGTAGGTAGTTGCGGTAATCCATACCAAAGCATCTATCTCTTCACCATAAGCACCTCTTCATTTCACGTAACTGTAATTGAATACGAAAACGCATTTTTAATAAGTTTTGTCATTATTCTCCTATTTGTTTTGATCTCCTTCTTCAGGTACCTAGGTATTTGACCGTATCCCTCGAATTCAAGCCAGAAGCCCATACCAAGGCTAGAACCCAAGCCCACCGCACAACTCACTACGCGCTATGTACTAAGCAGCTGCAAATTACTCTCCATATCTATATTGGTATCATGACGTAGCGCATCCTCCCTGATCTAACGGAAATGATGTGCACTGAAGGAAAACTCAAATGATAGCTATGAATCTCCCCTCGTAAGAAGAGCCATTCTCTCTAATGGACTGAACACCTTTTAATACATTGAAAAAACGCAAAAGAAAATACAAGAATGACAAAACAAAGACAAAATTTGTCGCCGTGATTCCTCCCCAACACACCATATAATAGCTCAGGCCCGAGTAGAAGAAAATACAGACTCGATTCTGATTCTTTTGTGAAAGGATTCGTCGAAAATAAGTGACATAAAGCTCATGGCCCACACTTGCCAAAGGCTCCTCTCCCTTGTGCATCTTGATGTTAGGGATTAAGGAAGGCAAAGTGACAAGTGCGATTCTTGAATGACTATAGAAGTCAAACGTGCTGACCCAACGCTGCCAAACAACCTGATGAAGACCATGCTCATAAGTACAGAATGCAGGTCCGTCGAGCATAATGTGGTAAATCTAGTATTCCGTACCTCCTATGAAACTTCCGTCTCAAGAGCAGTAGTGAGGTCAGCCTCCAATTCTGCTTCAAACTCAGCATCAAAATCAGCATCCATAGTGTTTTCAACGCCAGTTTCTTGCTCAACTGCTGGTATCTCATTGAAACTTTCTTGTGATTCATCTGTCTCGTCGTCCTGATCACTTTCATCATCCAAAACAATCGTCTCAATATGCTTTGGTGGCTGCATCCATGCCTTGGGTTGTGTTCCAAGTGCCGCTCTCAAAGCATTTTGGGTTGCCTTGGAATAATTCAATGGCGTATGATCTCGAGTCTTCTTGGTAGGTGGTGGTAATGAAGCCCATCTGGATTCCGTACTTTCTTGAACATCTTTATCATCAACAGGAAGAGTAGGCAGTGACTGACGACGAGCAGAATCAACCCAGATGACTGTATTCTTTTCTGCCTTGTCGGACGTATTCCTCGTATGTTCCAAAGACTCAGGGCGTTGAAATTCTGGCGGGGCGGGAAAAGCGGGACCGAAAGGACCAAGTTGTTCAAAGTTCCATGATGCAACAGCTGTATCATCATTAAGATATTGTCGATTCAGCTCATGAACCTTGGCTTTGCATTTAGAGCATCTTTCGCGTCTTTTCCAAACTTTTTTTGTCAAATAGAATTCCTTCTGGACATTGTTACAGGGTTGACCATGTTCCTTGTTGAAGTTCCTACACACCCACGATCTATCGTGTTGAGGATTTGCTCTGAGTTGAGTAAGGAGACCCATTGCTCTGGTTTGCAAGGCTTCTTGAGCGGTGGCATTATCTTGAAGCTCAGTAAGCATATTTTTTAAAGCATTTTCTCTCTGAGAGGCTTGATGTCTTTCGTTGATAATCTTTTGTTTCAATTCCTCAACTTCCATGCTTCGCGCTGTTATGAATATTAGCAAATTCTCAATAATAGGTGAATGATTGAAGAACTTACAGGGAAAAACAATGTTAAAAGCGTTTCTGAGATCAGCGTCCATCCTAATCTTGTTTTCAAACTTTTCCATTACTTCTCTAAGCTGAGGTGGAATGGAGCTCCTATCTAAACATTGTGGCAAGGACTTCTGGGTAGTGGTACCGGAACTTGTTGGCCCAGATGGTAGAAAAAGTCTTGTACCCTGCTCCGTAGCTTCTTGTGGAGCTTGATTTGAGTCTCGTGAGCCAGATGTAGCATGTTGATTAAACGAACATCGAAATGGTGTAAACCCAATGTTTTGTGGAGGAAATGCAGTAAATGGTCTTCTCTGAGTATGCGTTTGATTTGGGGAAACTTGATGACCATAGCTATCCGATGCAACTCGCATTTGTGATCTTTGTGAGCTTCGTATGTAGGTGGGTCCTAATGGAACGCCAGTAACTCCACAAGGTTGCTGCTGAACTGTTTGGTGAGATTCTGGAATAGACAGTATATGAGTTGCAGAAGGGGTTTGACCAATTTCTGGTGCAGTGACACTCGTGCTTGTGGTTGGTTGCGAAACGTGACTGTGATTGCTAGCAGAGTAAGCCGAATTGGTGGCCGGTACATTTTGGATATCTGTGGCCCGACCACTGGGAGATGTAGTGGGGCCGTCCTTGTCAGAGGAAATTTGCAATCCAGATGAAGATACTTGGGAGAGAAGTGATTCTTGTCCAATTGTTTGCTGAAAGACTTCACTTGGGGCCTTAGGGGCATTTAATGGTGAGGCTGATTCTGTCGTCTTTTGGATGGGCATGGCCTGTTGAGAGAAAACGGACAGGGAGTCAGTGATTGGACTGGCAGCCTCTTGAGTAGCTGACTCAAAAGATGAAGGCTTAGTAGTTGAGTCTGAATTGAACTTTCTTCTCTTGGGTACTGGTGGTTCGACATAATCGTCGGGACATTTTGGACCGTTATTGTAAAGATCATCGATATTTCCTGTTTCGTTCCAAAGAGAATATTCGTCCAATGCGTTATCCTGGAGGTTATTCTCTTCCATAGAAAAAGAGCCCCATAATGAATAATCATCTTGGAAGCCAAGGGAGTTCTGGTCATTGTACTGCTCAAAGGAAGGAGGTGTAAGTCCAATGAGGTTGTTTTGAGAGGGAACATGAGAATTTTCAGGAGCATAATTACCTCCGATTCTACCAAAGTTATTCTGAACCACACCCATTTCAGATGTGCTCTCCATCTTGAGATATCTTGAGGTCTCTTCGATGTAATCCTTCTAACAGCTGTCTTGAGTCACAATAATATATTCCACCACAAAATTGCGATCGCTTGAACAGAAATGCTTCTGACACTGTGCCTCTGAACGATGATCGCAAGCAATCTCAATGAACAGACTTTGAAGACAAAACTTTGTCGACAACGGCTCGTGATAGTAGCTCGTGTTGAATCCAAGGATCCAGCTGGTAGTTTATACAAATGTATGTTTAGCTTGGTAGCCTAGAGATATTTCAACCTCGCAACTTCAAAGTTTACTCGGCTATACTTCTTCTTAAGGCATAAAAAGGGCATTTGATGAAGTCCAGCTTTGTAGAGTTTGAATTTGTATAGTCAAGAGAAATTTTGGGAGGTTATTTGTGGGAAATATCTCTCATATGTGAATGTATGAAAGTGAACATAATGATTGCAAGGTGAGAAGCTGACTTTCGACTTCAAAAAGTTCTGGTGAAATCATCACGTGAGACTGATTTTTGATTGGCTCGAGCTTTTTTCATTGGATAATTTTACCTAGTACCTTTTTGTATGTAAGCTCAAGACAAGCTCAGACAAGGCTAAGTTATTACAGCTGCAAGGCTACCAGGTAATCAAATGGTATTTTCTCGGAATAATTAGTTCCGACCAGCTCAATGTAGAAGGCGGTCGATTAGTATCCAGCAGAAGGAGGAGCTCCTAACCGTCACTATCAATATCGTGGTTTGATACCTTCAGAACTTTATATACATATTTCTCTACAACCTACTCTACCGGGAAGGTGCAATTGCCAATTCATAACCACGATTTACACATCTTGCCTTTCTTGGTTATTTTCTGTCATTTCATCAAGTTGTATTGGGAAGGAATAGACAATGTCCGTTATTCTGTGTACTGGTAAGTAATGTTTTTTCGCTCAACAGCCTACTGCAATCTTCAGATGAAGTGGTTTCTTTACCATCACTCGGGGTGAAGTTTACTTTCCACTTCATTCTTTGCGTCGTCTCTTCTTTCTTTCATGGTCATGTTCCATTGCAGACCTCAAATGGCATATCAACCCGTTCTCGTTCACGGACAAGGAGACCCTGTTAACCTTCTTTGCGTTCTTGTTACAGCTGGCTACGACCACACAATCAGGTACGAATTACGCCTAGTCTTATGTATGATTTACAATGACATGGGTTATTGATGTTCTACAATTCTTAGATTTTGGGAGGCCCTCTCTGGTATCTGTTCTCGAACAATTCAACACCCTGATTCTCAAGTCAATCGATTATGCATATCCCCAGATAAGCGTTTCTTAGCTGCGGCTGGCCACCATACTGTTAAGCTTTATGACATTAAGTCAACCAATCCGAATCCGCTTCTCACATTCGAGGGACATACAGGAAATATTACTGGCGTCGCGTTCCATTGCGAAGGAAAATGGATGGTTACAAGCTCTGAGGATGGCACAGTTAAAATCTGGGAGACTCGGAGTGGCACCGTCCAAAGAAGTTATAGTCATGGCTGTCCGGTTAATGATGTAGTGATTCATCCCAATCAAGGAGAAATCATTAGTTGTGATCGCGGAGGTAGTGTTCGTATTTGGGATCTTGCAGAAAATAACTGCTCCCATCAACTTATTCCGGAGGAAGACGTCCCTGTTTCTAGCGTCACTGTCGCAACTGATGGATCAACCTTGTGTGCTGGTACTAACTCGGTAAGAGCATGCGCGAGGGATGCATCAGACTTGTATTAACTCCTGTTTAGGGCAGCGTCTACGTTTGGCAGCTCCTTCAATTCCGCGAAAAGACTCAGCTTATGCCGATTACTCACTTCAAAGCTCACAACCAGTACATTACTAGAGTTCTTCTCTCTCCAGATGTCAAGAAACTCGCAACATGTAGTGCAGACCATACGGCCAAGATCTGGGAGGTAGACTTTACTGCCCTAGCTCCTAATCCAAACCAGCCTCAAACAGAAGCAAGAGCATTCAATCTTGAATCAACCTTGACAGGTCATCAAAGATGGGTCTGGGATTGCGCTTTTAGTGCCGATTCGGCTTACCTTGTTACTGCTTGTTCAGATCACTATGCTCGTCTTTGGGAGTTGCATAGTCAGTCAGTAATCAGACAATACAATGGTCATCATCGCGGTACATCTACATTGCTTCAAACATACCCCACAGTGTCCCTTCTGATCTAATATCTACTATAGGACTCGTTTGCGTTGCTTTGAATGATTATTCCGAAGCTCGTTAAAACTCGTATCTGCTCGCGTGCATTGATCTAGGCGTTCCACTTTCAACCGGTTGCGGAGTTATAGGATTATACACGTTGCACATCCTGGAAGATTTCATTGAGTTGTCTCTACTGACTATCTAGTCTATCCACCTGGTGGTAATTCTATGCATGGCTTTGGCGTATGTAGGTATGGGCTTCGTTAGCATGGCGTTGTGACACAATGGCGGTGATTCACACGGTGTTGTGCATATCATGGGTGGATGGCTAACGTTCAATGATAACCTTGGAAGTCATCAATTTGAATGACGCTTATATCAAATCTTATTAATATTTACAAAAGCGAGCATTAATCCGTCTTTCGGTGATCAAAATCTAGTCTATCATCATCATCCAAATTCTCCAAAGCACTCTTCGTGACTTCCAACAAGTTGTGTCCCAATTCCCCGTTCATCGACTTCGCATTTCTTGCCCATTTACCTTGACACGCTCATCACACCCACCATCCTTCACGTCATTCATCTTCGTCCAAGCTCCTTCCAGTATCTTCACTTCCCTCCATCCCGTAATCCTATCCAATTAGAAGACGATTTCATATTCATGACAGCCAGGTACATAGCTATCACCATTATTTCTGGACATCATTTCGCTACTAAAGATTTGTACACGATAACGCTAGATGATTTGAAAACAACGAAGCCGGCCTCCAAGAAATGGAATTAAAGTATTTGATGTTTCCCTGGGGTAATCCTAGAAGAGAGATCTATTTTGCCGCGAGCATGGAACTGATAAAGATCAAGTGATGTGGTTGTTGTATATATGGAGTAGGTGTAGAGGAGAGCCGGGAAGCAAAGAGAAGAGGGGGGAGAAATTTGGCAAGCGGGATGTAGTTTAGGTGATTGGGTTCGAAGTGAATTTCATAGCTATTGTCTGTGAAGCTAGGTGATCATTAAGAATGCTGGATTTATGGTAGATAATATCAATAATAAGGGGAGCTAGAGGGAGAGAAGGTTTTGTGGGGTAAAGGAGGGGGTTTGTGGAGGCGAGATGAGGAGGGTGGATATCAAATATGAAGAAGTATTATGACTGTGAGTTATCGAGCTATATATGTACTTCTTGACAAAAAAGATTTGCTGTTTTTATCATTTTCATCAACTCAGGAGTTTATATATCTTGAATCAAGCATAGTCAACATATGATGGTGAAATTTTTCCAATCGTAGCGAGAGATTGATGGAATATATACGGCATGCGCTCAAGTATATAGAGAGACGTTGAATATAAGACTAGAAAAGACACCAGCCAAAGCCAAGATTCATAGATGAATATAGACTTGGCTTAAAGTGAATTAACACACCTATCTCATTGGAATCAGGATTCACTCCCATTTCACAAATTCTAACCAATCGTTACTCATGCAGAAAATTTGTTGCATGTCTTAAAGAACTCTGTTTTGACACAGACTATTCTCTCGTATCTGAAGTTCAAACTATGAGCAATTTAATGGAACCTTGGAAGAGATCAAAGTGCGGACATTATCAAGCATAACTGATGCAATCACGTGAAAGTCACGCTTTAATGCGAAAGGCCGAAAAATACATACTGCAAAGTAATAAATGCTATTTCTAAGCTACTTCTAAGCTAGGAGTAAAATAAAAACACCATCAAAAAGTTCTTGATCAATTAATCAATTCTGAAGCAAAGTTATGTTGTGGTAGAAGAAGTATTCTGTGTAGATCTTGCTGCCTTCAACTTCACGATTTCTTTCACTCTCCAACCATACCTACTATTGCATTGCAAAATGGCGTCAAAAAATAATGCCTCACATGCAGAAGTATGGGATGATTCCACACTCGTAGATTCGTGGAATGAAGCTCTACAAGAATATGAGGTAAAGAATTTGTATCGATTGTGTGAATTTTGCTAATGTCAAAATAGAAATATCATAGTATCCATGCTCGAGGAGAGAAAGTCGAGGATGTGTTGAACGCATTCGAGAACCAAAGTAATGGATTGCAAGTTTGTCTTCTCCCGACTGTTATCACATTGCTAACCTTTTGTAGAAAAGGGGAGATGAATGAAGATAATGGAGAAGGTGTTGAAGAACCGCTGGAAGAAAATGTTGTCATGCAAAGCGAGTTTGAGCAAATCGATGACCACACCCAAACAGCGAACGAACCAAAAGTAAGCATTGAAAACGGTCTATCATTATATAACTTGATTGATTCTTATGTATTATTAGGTTGGTGACAAATCCGCACCAGAAGCGACCAAATTTGATTCTTCGTCTTCAAAAGCTCCAATGCTACCACCACAGTTAATTGGTCAAGGTAAGACGTGCATGCGTTTTCATGATATACGTAAGATCGAGGCTGACGTGGAATTCTCATACAGTTCACGATGAAAATCTTAAGAATTTATTGATGTCTTGGTACTATGCTGGCTACTATACTGGATTGTATGAAGGCCAACAGCAAAAGCAAGAACCAAGTAAGGGTACATAATGAACACAAGGCATAGGATGGATTCTTTATGAGGGAACTATTATCACTACTGCGACTATCTGTGACACGGATAGTTTGAACCATCTGATCTTATTCAAGCCGGATCATTAAGATTGGCATTGGGATGAAGTCCGAGCTGTGCCATGTTGTGCCGTTGTGGCAGATATCATATCCATCAAAAGCATATGAGGGATGATCTTATGTTAGCTTGTACTTCATGGAAGAACCGATGTTACAGCAGGTACAGGAGACATGTATTATATGGTTTCATGATTGATAACGGGTACCTTACATCATTGCGTCTTGAACTAAGTTTCTTTACTCTTCTCACGATTGTATCCCTCAAGGAGTTCATGATTATGCTTATGATGAGATGTGGAACTGGGGGACTTCATTCGATAATGGACAACTCAAATTGACAACATCTGGGATAATAAACCGCTGCGTCCATTTTATATAGGATTCTGCGGAAGACATTGCTGAATGTGGGCATGTGATGAAACGGTCACTTTCATCTCACCCCCTGGAGTATCCAACCTCTAAAAACTTCAGTAACGAAATTTCCATCAATTCATAATCTTTTCCCGCGCTTCCATCAATTATCAGATAAAATTTCTCCTTCTTTTCATCTCCAAATCTAACGTTCGAGACATTGGCCCTTTCAAGGATCTCAACATTAAAGTTTACCTATATCCAGCCTCCCGTCGTCCCATCATGACAGCTGAGACGAATCTGGCACGCGCCACAGGAGGTGCCAAAACAGCAACTGTTAGGGCTGGACCGGGGTAAAATATTCTCATGGGGCAAGGATTGGAGTTCGATATAGGCTATACTATAGCCTGTGTATACAATCTTCAGTGACCTTTGGCGTTGGAATACAGGGATAAAAGATCTCTGATTATCTTGTGTTTGGGCTTGGCATGATGACAAGGGTTTTCATCACATCTTCATCCAAACCTCGTTTCTAAAACGTTGGATCTTTGGCTTACAACCTTGAATTAAGTCTTTTAGTAGTACATTTCTCTCTATCATGGCAGTTTAATTGGATTGGATCCGGACGAGTAGGTCTCCGAGTGGTACGATAAATCCTGGAGGCTTTTCTCCTCCGTTCATTGAGTCGTTTCGACCAAGGATATTCGAAGCAAGTGCTTTTCATTTTGTCTTCAAGTCCTGGTATTGCCATTCTTATGGTTGAATTTATACCAAGACCGTCCCCAAGACCTGATGCATTGTTTTTCGACATTCTATCATTCATAAACTTGTGAACACTTTCATTCACCTTCTCTACCTTCTCTATTAATTACTATCACGAGCAGGCCCTCGACAATTGGCTACTTTACTACTCTAGTCAACTCACAATCATTACACAAGCCAAGACAACTTTGATAGTTTAATTCTTCTCCGCAGCGCGGCTTACATATCATTCTTTCATCTTCATCTTATATCCATACGGCATTCAGTCCTTATATCCTAATATATTCATCATGAGATCCTCAGTTATCGCAGCATTGTGTGCAGCACAACTGGTATTGGCCAGCAATCTTCAACATGACTTGGCTGGGCGGGGAATAATTACACCGGAATTCGCTGAGAGATCATCAGAGCTCGTTGTCAATAAGAAGGAGATCACGATTGTACAGGCTAAGAGCGAGGACATCATTATTATCTGGACCAATGATGGCAATGGCGCTGCAACTAAAACAGTGACCGAGACGAAAACGGTTGCTCAAGTAGCTGGTGCGACAGTGGCAGCAGCAGCACAGGCAACCCATACCGTTGTAGTGGGAGGCCCCGCTGGAAAGGTATATACACCTGAGACGGTCAACGCTGCTATAGGGGATATGATCGTATTCAATTTCGAAATGGCAAATCACACTCTCACACAATCAGCTTTCACAACCCCGTGTGAAAAGCTGGCTACCGGTGGAATGGATAGTGGTTTCGTACCAAATGTTAATAATACCATCAGTCCACCCCCAGCCATGGCTATGCAAGTCATGGTTGATACTCCTCAATGTTAGTATACCACAGATATCATTCAACTACCAACAATACTAATACGGATACAGGGTTCTACTGTCGTCAAGCTGGCCACTGCGGATCAGGAATGGTTTTCAGTATCAACCCCACTGCCGACAAAACTCAAGCGCAGTTCAAAGCAATGGCTGTTGCACAAAATGGTACTGGAACCCAGAGTGCTATTCAAGGAGGATCCTCTGCTGGCGGAGCCAGTAGTGCAACATCTCCAAGTGCTGTTGCTTCAGCTGCCGGTGCAGTTTCTACCGCGACAGTTGCTTCTGGGACAGGGACAGTTGGTTCTGATGGAATATGCTCGTGTAGCTGTCTTTGTGGACAAGCTGCGTTCCCAAATGCTGCAGTGCAGGGAGTTGGAATGTTTGGTGGAGTTTCTGGTTAGTATTTTCTTGTATGATTATTTATATTCGTCGCTTGACTCTAACACCTATGCAGGTGCTATGTCCATGTCTTTGCTAGAGAAATAAATGGACAGATGAGGGATGAAATTATCGCCTCTTCTTCTTTTTCTTCTCGGTATAGGTTAACTATACGCATAATGTTAGAATGGGGAAAATATGAGTTTTCTGTTTATGATATGATGGAAATAGCAGTCGCCCATCAGAGGCTTGACGCTTCAGATAAGAATATGGGAAAACTTCATGTATATGACTGGATCGTATGTTGGATTGGAGTTTTTAGACGGGCGTGAGATGAAGGAAGGATGAATTGCGGGAGATGGCTTAATAATAGTTTTTTTTAAATGTTCGACTACAAATGAATGATTAACATATATTATATCAACAGCATTATCTACATATTCAATACATATAAGATGTTTATTGATAGAAAAGGGTTTATATCAAATTTCAAATTTCACGTGCCCATCTCCAGTCTCAAATCACCTCCCCACTCACTTATTAAACTCTAAGGTTAACTCAAATTTTAAAATCTGGATCCCTTTTTTACTTGAAGTTCATACGAGGTAATTCATTCTTCGATTTCTACCTATCTTATCATCTTCTTCTCAAGTACCTACATCACAATAGATATTCAAAACAGAGCATCCATCAATCCAAGATATAACATCCATCCAAAATCCATCAATCAAACATATCCCCCCCATTAGTTCCACCATCACAGCCTATAAAAGCCACCCAACCTCGGGTACCTGACACTAAAGCACCTAAAGCCCAACTCTAAAATTAGCGTTGCATGTCCCCCAAATCCCAATCCCTTCCCCGCCAAGCAGGGCCAAGCCCCACCAAACCCCATTCAGCAGATTCATATCAGAACAGGAGGAATGACTGGCGACCTTCATTTCTTTTACGAATGGGAGCTATGAAACATTTGACAACTTTGCTTTCTACATACATACATACATACATAGATATCTATCTACATACCTTTTTCAAGGAAATTCGATTCTTTAGACTTCGTTGCGTATTGTCGCTGTCCTCTCTTTTATTGATCAATCTACAGTATTCATCGTGAAGGTTACATACACATTCTTTTAGTTATTCAATTCTTTGATTTTAAATCTACTCTACTGTCGCAATTACCATTACATTCTCAAACATCAAACCAACCCAAGACTTACGAAAGATTCCAAAACCCAACCTCATCTCCATTCCATACCATACCATACCATACAAATCCAACCATACCCCAACGCCAACCGCAAAAATGCAAACCCCAACTCTCCTCGCCATCTCTCTCCTCTTCCTCTCCAACGCCCTCTCCGTAACCGCCACTCCTCCCGCATGTCTCCTCGCAGCTATCAACGTTCAATCCGATCCCTCCGATCTCAAGGCTCTGTGCGGAACATTGGAACATGCTGTGACGGGAAATATCACGGATAGATGTTCGGGGGATAAATACAAAGAGGCTGTGAGCTCTTACCAAGCTACTTGTTTTGAGGGTGCGGGGGTTAATATTAGTGAGTTTTTCTATTCGTTTTCGAATTCTGTTATGCAAGGAAGGGCACAGGACGGGCACAGGACGGGAGAGAACAGCGACCAGCAAGTTCCGTAGACCCAGCTTGGGATGTTCACCAAGAGCATGAGAGGAGAAGGAATATAATGAAAAGGGAAATAAGAAGTGCGTCACACTAACCAATCCAACAGCAATCACATCCTCCTCCGCCTCCGCCACAGGCACAAACACAGCATCTATCTCTGGCTCTGGCTCTGCCTCCGCAAGCGCAACCGCAACAGCAACCGGAAGCAGCGCAAAAGCTACCGGAACCGCTTCCGCAACTGGATCGAGCGCTAGCGCGACGGGAAGCACTACTGGTGCGAGCGCGGCTACGGCTACGGGTGCTGCAGGAGCTTTGGTTGTTCCGGGATTCTTGGGAGTTGTGGGATTAGTTGGTGCGGTTCTTTTCTAGGGGAGTAGAGAGGGTTGATTAGATTTGGGGAGTGAAGTACAGTCGATGGAGAGGGGAAATATAGCCAGGTGCTAGATTGGGATGGGAGAGGATGGTTTCGAGGGGGAGATGATGCGGTTTGAGAGGTGGGAGAAGATGAATTTGTGCATATTTTAGAGATACCAGGATTGTTTCTTTACAATTACAGTTATTAGTGTTGGTGGAGCGAAGGTTGAGATGGATAGTTCAATAAATCGAGGATGTTCAAGTGTGTTTTGTTTTGTTGTTTTGATTTATGAAGTTCCTTTCGGGGTATTATATGTCATATCATATTATACCTCAGCATTTTCATTACAACAAAGATCTAAAGAGTTGATATACTTTCTAAACTCTACACTCAAGAAGATTACTAGGTACTTCATTTCATTATCTTCCAAAGTTTTTTGTAAAGATCAAAGAGTTGATATACTTTCTAGACTCTCGGGCTACACTCCAGAAGACTGCTAGGTACTTCATTTTATTTCATTTCATCATCTCCCAATGTTTTTCCTAATATCAGAAGAATCCAATCTAAACTTGTACACTTCTCAAAGGATATTCTGGAAATGTTGTTTTTTTTTAAAAAAAATTTAGGATGTATGAATATCTGGATGTCTATTTTCTTTTTCTCATTGAGTTGATTAGTTTTTTTTTTGGTTATTTGTTAGTTATTTTATTTTGTTTCATTTCATTTCATTTCATCTCATTCCATCTCACCCTATCCTCTCTCATCCCTCTCATCTCATCTCAAAGAGCAAGTAAGGAATTAAGGAAGTAGTATACTTCCCATCCAACTCTTCATCTAACTCTCCATCTCACTCTCCATCTCACTCTCCATCCAACTCTAATAATAATTACTATCTAAGTATATATCGATACATATATATACATACAAACACATATACATCTAATCTCAATTCTCAAATTCCGAAAGTTATAAGCTTTATTCATTTCTTGAGTATTGAGTATTGAGTATTGAGTATTGAGTATTGAGTATTGAGTATTGAGTATTGAGTGTAGGATATCGGCATGGGTTTGAAATTTGCTGTGTGTGGGTTTTGTTTGATTGTTTGTTTGTGATATTGTATGTGTGTGGTGTATAGTATATGGTGTGTGGTGTGGTGTTTGATGTGTGGTGTGGTGTGTAGTATATGGTGTGTGGTGTGGTGTTTGATATGTGGTGTGGTGTGTAGTGTGTATGTGGATGTGGATATATATATGTGTGTAGTGTAGTGTGTATGGTGTATAGTGTTTAGGAGTGTTTATAGATGTGGATGTATATGTGTGTGTAGTATAATGTGTGTGTTTATAGGTGTTTGTAAGTGTATATAGATATGAATGTGTATGTGGTTTAGATGTTACGGTAATGGAATTTTGGAACTCTGGAACTCTAGATGTCTTGCTTGTGAGAGGGGGGTAGAGAGGGTTAGAGGGACGGGAGGGAATGACTTGCCTGTTTGCTGTGTGGGTCAGGAAGAGGAGGAGGGGGGGTTGCTTTCGTTATCTGTTAGAGTCCTCTGTTGTGTTGTGTTGTTTGTCTGCTTGGGCTGGGTGGGCTTGAATGGGATTGTTTCGTTTCGTACATATGTGTGTGTAGATGTGTATACAAAGTATGTATCTTCGAATCCCGCATCTAACCTACTCACTTACTCACTACCGGGGTCCAGATACTTAGATTCAGTTCTAAATCCAGTCTCCGACTCTCCGACTCTCTGCAAGATCAAGATGAAGGGTTGGAGAGTATGGATATAGATACTGATATAGATATATAGATATCACAATTACACATCCATCTAATTACCATTCATCAACCAATGATCCATAATTGATTCATCATTTATTCCTCGCTCATCCATATCTCAGATCTAGAGAAGTGTGAATATTACAATACAATGATTACATACCCCCTCCTTCCCTCTCAGCTCGTACCAAATCGTCAACGTTGAACAATGCTGACTTGTTATTAACATCTACCTGACATCCAATTAGCTTTACTCTTGCCGGTATCTGAGATTAAGGAATCTCATTTTCGGTACCTCTAGTTTATATCTTGGTTATCTTCTTCTGTTCGCATCCACAATTAAATCTGTATCTGTATTTGTATTTGTATTTGTGTTTGTATCTTCTTTCATCTACATCTGCATCTTCATCTCCGTCTATATTCTTCAGAGCTATGTTTGCAGGGTTGAAGTAATGTATAGAATATCAACTCTTTCTCTTAAAATTGATTTAGAGAGACGGAGGTACGAATTACTGGCAGGTATATTGATATGATTTATTGACTTGACAACATAATCAGACAAGCAAGTAAAACATGTCTAGCATAAGCATCAGGCACTATCAAGCATCTAGAAGTTTGAAGATTTCAATCAACAGCTCGCAAAACGACATAAATGACCTCATCGGAAGCAGTTATAACTACTAGGTAATCACCTGAAGTATTGTCATTTGATCACTGGAGCTCACGCCAAAATCAACCCCAGGAACTAATAACCAGTAACTCTAGCTAATTAGCTCTAAAAGCTCTGAGCTATTCTCTGGATATCTGGTAAATCTAATAGCTAATTTGAACGTCTAATCCTTTGCTGAGATTTGACTTTAGCATTGGCTGGACTTCAGTGATATGGAGAGCAGCTTGCATGCGTGATCATGATTAGCTTATAGATGTAAAGGCAGTGAACGAAGAGAGAAAGATTGGTGACTTGTGTTTCGGCATCAAAGAATTGTCATGGTATCGCAACTTGCATTATCTTCGCTTGAATTCGTACTTTTGATTTAGCTACTTAGTATGCAAGTGTGCCACATGTAGGTAGCCATTAGAACTTTTAATTATGGCTCAAGATTGAGCTATATTCCTACGCTCATGATGAGCATGAAACTCGACTCTATAGTCTTGGTGCAGTAGCTTTAGAAAAGCTCACCATTCTCTCTTCGCCACCTCTCCTTCTCTCTTGAATATCAACTCAACCACCTGTAGCCTCCCTATAAAAGCTCAAACTCCTGTTTGCCCCCGCTGTAACAAACGCCTCACTCTTCCCCTGCACTTTTGGCAACCATTTGACAGCCCAAAGCGCTTTATCCGTCTCACTATGCGTCGCCACACAATTTCTTCCCTCTACACTCCATACCTTGGCTTTGCCATCCCAAGCACCACTAACTAAATATTCGCCTGTGAAACTCCAGTCGATACTGAAAATCCAGGCTGTGTGACCTGTCATATTAGCGACTTGTTCGCCATGGGTAACGGAGTAGAGGGCAATGGTTGTGGAATCGCCAGCAGCAGCCAGATAAGTAGAGAGGGGAGAGAAGGAAATGGTGCGGATGGGTTGGATCAGTCCTAAATTTGTTAGTATGCTAGCTCTTGTCCCGTCCTAAATCAATTGATACGTGAAACTTACCAGGTAAACTATGTACCATTCTCCCCGTATCATTATTAAAAACGTAAACACCTCCATTCTCATGTCCACTGGCCGTAAATCTTCCATCTGCACTAATATCCACACATAGTCCAAAGCTCCCCTTCGTCTCATACTCTCTCATTTTCTTGCCTACACTTTTCTTTCCCGCATTCTCTTCAGCTCCTTGTAATAAATCCCATACCCCAATCTTCCCATCAATAGTCGTAGCTGCAAGGAAGTTTCCATCAGCACTTAATGCTAGCGCCCAGATTTCGCCGGGCTTGTTGCCATCGAGAATATGGCCATGATGAGACCATTCTTCTGATCCTTCTGCGTTTGGAGAAGAGCTCCAAATACTAACTGTACCGTCGAAGCCGGCGGATGCTGCGATAGTGCCAGATCGAGAGGTGCAGATGTGGTGACAGCCGAGTTTGTGGGCGGGGAGAGTTTGAGTTAGAGAAGGGGGCGTGGTGAGTGTGCTGTGGACTTTAAGAGAGGATGTACCGGAGGCGGAGAGTATAGAGCTGGTAGTTACGGCGAGGGAAAAGATGTCTGTTTTATGGGCTGGGGTGGGTTAGCATGAATGCTGGATTTAAGATATAGCTATTGGTGCAAGCGGGGGATGGTGAGGTAGAGGGGCAGTTTGGAGTATTTACCATCATCGATCGTATGCGTTGTAAGGTATTGTTTTGACTTTTGAATATTAGCACATGTACTTTCATATTCGATGGTTTACATACCATTGTCACCGGTTCATTTGAATATTTGGGTATATGGGTTTTGGAAGAAGAGGTGTTTTTGGTGGATGTTGTGAATAAAGCTGAAGCTCTGGAAGCTTTGGCGGGGTTGAAGAAAATATCATGACCTCACAGGTAATTTCAGCAAACGCATTTTACATAACACGAAGATAAGATTTCAAATATCGATGATGCAGTAGGATATTCTTATTTTGATGTACAGTTTAATAGATTGTACCAGTTCTGAGGATATATACCTCACGGTTCAGGATCTCTTCTCCATGTCCCAAACGCCATGGCTGATGCCATACATGATCATCTCCATTTCTGATTCTCACCAGTTCCTTCGTCTCGCATGCCTTCCAATTCCCTCCAATTCCCTCCTACCCCTCACAATCACCTAATCAATTCTTCTGGAGCCAATAATCTGCTTAGGATTCTTCTCCTCATATATCTTTCTCGCGGCATCCTTAGCTGCCTTCTTGTCTGCCCGCTTAGTTTCCAACTGCTCTAATTCTGCCTCTCTCTTGGTCTTTTCCTCTGCAGCTCTTGCTTTTCCTGCATCTATTCTTGCTTTCTGCTCAGCTATCTCATCTGCTCTGGCTTCTCTTGCAGCGGCATTTGCTTCGTGTGCATTGGTTTTGAATAAGGTCTTGATTTCTAAATCATTGTTAACCACCATCCTCTGATATATCATATAGAAGATCTTTACCAGCAACACAATATGGACATAATAAATGTGCTCTCTTAATGTGACCACAAGCAGAGCATCTATTCAAGTTTGTAACATCTTGTAGTCCTTTGCCTGCCATTTGCCTATGTCTCTTCTTCATATGTGAAGTCTTCTTCTTTGGTACGGCTTTCAATATTCCCTCCCATAATCCTTCGAGAAAGCCGGGAATATTAAGATGTATCGCAGATGGGATGGCGAGTACTGGGAGTAATGGATGTGACAATTGTCGCGAATATAAAGTTGTTGATCTCGTTGCGAAAGTCGCTGTTGCAGGTGCCAATCGTGGAAGAAATGACGAAAGTATCGACGACGTAGTAGCATGAGCTGCCGCCATTTTGATTGAGATATCGAAGGAGAATTAATAAAGCACGTATGGGTATTCAACCTCACTGTCGATACTAATTCATCAAAATCTTGAATCTTTCACTTCTCGGCTCGCATGGTTGATTCACTAGTTTCCACTCACAGATAAGCTAGCGCATTTTAAGATTAGCTTCGATTTGCCCAATTACTTTCCCCTGAAGTGCACACTATATTGCCAAAATAATCTGGAGACTGACCTCCTTCCCTAACTTTGTTCTTTATCAACGACTTTTGATTGCATATTACCTTCGAAGATAAATATCTTCATTTTTGTTTCCATTCAATTCAAAGATAACACCCTCGTTTATAAAGACTCAAGCTTTAATACACTCTTTCCAAGATGTCAACAATAACTGATAGACACGCTCCTCAACCTTCGGTATTCCCAAAGAGCCATGTTGGTTTCGATAGTATCACATCACAAATTGAGCGCAAGCTCTTGAAACGCGGTTTCCAGTTCAACGTTATTTGCGTCGGTGAGTTTACTTGGTACATTGTTGACAAGTGATTTGAGTGAGTTTTCTAATAGATTTATCTTGTAGGACAAACCGGTCTCGGAAAATCTACCCTCATCAACACCATTTTCGCCTCACATTTGATCGATTCCAAGGGAAGACTCACCCCAGATGAGCCAGTACGATCTACCACCGAAATTCAAACCGTTTCCCACATCATCGAGGAGAATGGCGTAAAGCTGCGACTCAATATTGTCGATACCCCAGGTTATGGAGATCAAGTCAACAATGATAGATGCTGGGATCCAATCGTCAAATACATTAAAGATCAACACTCTGCATACCTCCGAAAGGAACTTACTGCTCAAAGAGAGAGATATATTCAAGATACCCGTATTCACTGCTGCTTGTTCTTCATTCAACCTTCTGGCCATGCCTTGAAGCCAATTGACATCGTGGTTCTGAAGAAGCTTTCAGATGTTGTCAATGTCGTACCAGTTATCGCCAAGTCGGATTCTTTGACTTTGGAGGAACGTGCTGCATTCAAGGAGCGCATAAAGGAGGAATTCGCTTTCCACAACTTGAAGATGTTCCCATATGAGAATGATGAGTTTGATGAGGAAGAGAAAGCGTTGAACGCACAAATTAAGGTAAATTATATTGCATTGGTGTCTCAAGCAAGCATACTAACAATATCAGGACATCATTCCATTCGCCGTTGTTGGATCTGAGAAGGATATCATTGTTGGAGGCAAACCAGTTCGAGGACGTCAAAACAGATGGGGTGTTATCAATGTCGAAGACGAGAACCACTGCGAATTCGTCTACCTACGAAACTTCCTTACCCGAACCCATCTCCAAGACCTTATCGAAACTACATCTCAAATCCATTACGAAACATTCCGTGCTAAGCAATTGTTGGCCCTCAAGGAGAGTAGTGCTGCAGGACATGCTGGTAGCAGACCAATCAGTCCATCAGCTGATAGAGAATTGAGCAGAAACTCCCAAAGAATGACCATGAACGGCTATTAGGGAAATTCAAGGGATGTGAATGATGGCTAGTTGGTGGTGATGCTGGGATCTGGTGAGTTTGGATGATTGGTTGTGTTTATGATGGCGAGATGGTATTTGCCAAAAGCGACAATTTTTTGACAGGAGATTAGAGGAGAGTTTAATGGACTGCTTTTGTGGAGCCGGGCTTTTCTAAACTGAATATTGCTACATTTCTCCTTTGCTTAATTAGCCCTTTTCTTTAATATCCTAAGGGTTCATTTCAATAGTAAATAATAAGATCTTCTTTGATTCTTGGGGCTATTCATATCTTGTGATTCCGTCTATGGAAATTGAATGAGTGGTAACTTGATCTCACCAGTTGACTGTGCATTATTGATATCACATTGATGGACCAAACAAATGGATTGGAAAGGCCTTGCTTGATATTACTAGGTAGGTAGGTCCTGGCCATGAGGTTCCATCCAGCGGTCCGCATCAGAGTGTGATGTGGCTGGCTCTCCTGGCCTAAAATCTCCGGCCCCAAGCGCTAACGTCGATAAGGGGTTTCCCCAGCTTTATCGCACGACCAGCACGCACCAATGATTTAAGCGTCCCTAAAGCACTTCCACTTCCTAAATATCGTTTTTCTACACATATGTGTTTTCTCCAACCGCCACTCCTGCGACATAGTATCCTACGCAAAACCTCAATTGCAATTCGATTTCCGAGATCTTCTTCGCGGAATCTTAGCACGAGTATTGTTGCAAAAATCGTTAATATGTCTCGTATGTTATGTTCTCTTCTTATTTCCCCTCTCAGCAGCGAAAGGGAGAAGAAAAAAAAGGAGATCTTGATATTAGAAGAGGAATTGAAATTGAAATTAAACTCAAAATAAAATAAAACTAACACCACCTCCCCTCCCCTAGCCATCCCCCCCACCACCAACCCCATCATCATCAGCGGTCCCTCGGGGGTCGGAAAAGGCACGCTCTACTCGCGACTCCTGGCCAACCACCCCTCGCTCTTCACCACCTCCATCTCGCACACGACGCGGGCGCCGCGCCCCGGCGAACAGCGCGATGTGGATTATTACTACGTGTCGATGGAGGAGTTTGAGGCGATGATTGCGGCGGGGGATTTTGTCGAGCATGCGAAGTTTGGGGGAATAGGTATGGGACCAGTAGGAAGATGATTGAGCAGAAGAGAGGGGAGGGGAAGATTGTCGTGTTGGATATTGAGATGGAGGTTTGTGTTTGGGGTTTTTTTTTTGAGATTTGATTTTTGGGAGAGAGGGGAAGAGGGGGAGAGGGGTCACTTCTCTTCTCTCGCTTCTCCCTCCCCTACTGTTTTGGAGGAATTAACTTGCTAATAAGAGATACCACAGGGCGTAAACAAATCCATGCGCTCACCCCACCATTCCCAGCACGCTACGTATTCATTTCTCCTCCCTCCACCGCGGAGCTCTCACCCTACCAAGTTCTCGAGAAGAGATTGCGCGGAAGAGGCACGGAAAAGGAAGAATCGATTCAAAAGCGTTTGGAACAGGCAAAGTTGGAATTGGAGTATTCGAAGAAGGAGGGGTTGCATGATAAGATTATTGTGAATGATGACTTGGAGGTTGCGTATAAGGAGTTGGAGGATTATATTTTTGGCAAGGGGGGAAAGGCCGCGGATGAGAAGGAGGCGAGTGTTAGTGTTCAGGACTGAGGCGGAGTGGGTGAGAGGGGGAAATGTTGTGGGGTGCACAGGGTAGTATGGTTTGAGCGTGTGAAGAGAAGATTTGCATTGCGAGAAGTTTTCCTCGAATGTGCAGAGGCCATGAGGGGTCATACATAGAGATTGTGTGGTTCTTCACATGGGGTTGGGTGGACATAGAAAAGACTTATATACCTAGACAAAAGAATGCATACATTATCAACCACCAATTTCCTGAAATCCGAATTTCAAATGATGAAATCGTATGTTTCTCGGGTATGGAAAAGGGGCTATAAACTGAACGGGCGATTCTGCAGGCCGGATTTTTGAAGCGGTCATCTTCTGTGGGCCATATACTTGGGGGGACCGACTTTTGAGGCAGGTCATATGGAATAGGCCATTTCGCAGCATCCACAATCCCCAGAGGTCAACTACTTCGCACTCAACACCGCAAAAAGAACTCAGTCTCACGGCATCATTGAGAAACTTTATTAAAAGGCCTAACCATATCATATGGTTCTGACACCATACAACGAATTTAACGAATGACTCCCGCCACATTCATCCATCCATCTATCCATACGATCCACCCATCACAGGAAACAAAGCCTAGGTAATCCACGCATTCTAGAATAAACGACCGAACATCAACCCCCCTCACAATGAAAAGATTTCCCACGCGTGCTCTAGAATTTTTATAATTGAAGGACCGAAACGCTGCTCCGACGCTGTAACACCTTGAATGGGGAATTCAAATGTATTGTAATGTATAAGGAAAATGGAAATGGAAATGAAATCCCGGGAGATGAGAAAATTCGGGGGAATTTGCGAAATTCTTTCGCGCCTGCCTGCCTGCTCGCCTTAAAACTCCATCCTTTCGCTCTGGGAGGGGGAAATTGTTCTTTGAGGATCGTTCTTGGGATTTTAGGATTTTCTGTAATTTTGTATCATATCATATCGAATTGGAGAGGTCTGGCAACATGGAAAGGTAAGAAATGTTGAATGGAATCGAATCTATTTCTTTCCTTGTGCGGCGGCGAGTGCTTCGCTGCTTTTTCTCTCATCGGCTGGAGGAGGTTAGTAAGTGTGGACAGATGGATGGATAGATAGATGAGTAGAGTAGTTGAGGAATCATACCTTTCTTTTGCTTTTTCCATTAATAGAACACGGGTCTTATCTTTCTCGGCCTGCATTTGCGATTTCGACATTCCGCTTCCGGCTTTCTGTTTGGAGAGGGGCGGGTTAGTCTATGGGGTTTAAGAAGAGAGAGAGGGAGAGACAGCAAACGGCATATTCAGAGTATAACATGCGAATAGAGATAGGAATTCGAGGAACCTAAAAAGCAAAATAGGAAAAAAACATACAGCAGTTGAGCTTGTTTTCTTAGCATTAGCCTCACGGGACTTTTCTCTCTGATTTCCTCTAGCCATTTTGAATAATTAAGTATAAAAAGAGTTTGGTATTAGATGTAAATAGTGTGTGAGTGTAAGATATGTGATGTGTGTCTGCGTGGCCTGTTATCTTTTTGCAAAAATGCAAGTGAGGGTTTGGTCAGATTGTGGAAAAGAGAAAATGAATGGTGAGGCTGAGATATATGCACGGAGACAGAGAGAGATATGAGAAATGAATGTTCTGGATTATTGATACGGAGAATCGGAGGATGGGTTTAAGCGAAGGTGGATTGAGAGTGTTTGATTGGTGGATTGGGGGATTAGTGAGAATGGATGGATATGGATATGAAAATGGATAGGATAGGATAGGATAGGATAGGATAGGAATAGAAATCATAGAATACCGGAGAGTGTATATAGAAAAATCATGGGATTTGATTGGAGGATGGGGATTTGGGAGGTTTCGTTTCAAATGACTGTTGAGTAGGAGGTAGGTATTACGATACTACAGTACTCCCACGAGGTACGAATCTGTTCATCTACATTTGTACGATGGATGAAAGTCTGTTTCTATTTGCAAACGCAAGTTATAAAAATAATTGTGTACGTATACGGTAAGTACATTCATTGTATGTCGTACGTCCTTTACAAAAGAGCATTCAACAAGAATAATTGGCCCAAAGTTTCCTTCTTCCTCTTTCTCTCTTCTTTCTCTTCTTTCAACACACACTCGTACATTCAAATCATGAACATCCTTACCCAAAGGCATTTTTCATCCAATGATGGGAACTCGACTTTTATATCACGAAACAGAGCTATTTTCAAACCTCTCTCCTGACTTGACAATCAATCATGCATTGCATTTCGACCTCATTGGATGAGAAGGAACTTTGTTACGACGATGATCGATGTCAAGCGCGTCTTTTCAACTCTTTCGCGCCAGAGAGGAGTTCTCCTTAAACACCTTGAAGCAAACCGAGTTTGGGTGGTCAAACCTTACCTATTTTCATCCATTCATTTCTGCCCTTTCTGGATTTCTCTTCTGAATAAGTTCTAGAGGTTGTACATAATGGTCAAAGGAATCTCTAGGTAATCTATATGTTTATTGGATTCCTTTCATCGTTTGGTCAATCATGGGATAATAAAGACTTCATTCACCCCACAATAGCTACATCTTTTGGCGTCAAAGTTTGAGTCAAAGGGTTTGGGGGATACTTCTTTCAATCTTCATATACATTCACCTTTTCGTCTTTTGTGTCTATTGTCTACCTTTGAAGACAATAAGACTATTTCGAAAAGATCTTTATTTCTATTGTTAGAATTATTCAAACAATGAAGTCGGCACTTCAATAACGAACAATTGTTTTATTTAATATATCTTCTTTTCCTCCTGTTTGAGATTCTGAATCTGTTTCTTCCTTTTTTGACTTTGAAAATTATCATACACTTCTTCACGATCTTTCTAAAAGTTCTATACACAACTACAACTACACAGCACAACTTTACTTGCCAAGTTTCATACTTAATTTCTACTACACACATACTTTGAAAGTATTCCAAAACTCTTCTATCTACTGCAGGCAGTTACTCCTACTCTTTCTTTCCACAATTGTAAGTTCTTTCTTGTCGTCGACTAGGATATTACCCAAGACACTTGGCTAACACATTCTTAGACTCGAAATTTTATACATATATTCGTCCTTTAATACAATATAATCACGATGTTGAACGTCAAACAAGCCGGTCGAGGCTTTGTGATTCTTAACATCATTCGTGTTATGAACATTATAGCACTCCTCGATGTTATTGCAGCAAGTTGGATCATGCTTGTCATGACCGTCAAGACCTCTAACGTAAGTCCCTCTTCCCTCGTTGATTATATCAATACTCAACTAACACTTCATCTAGTTCTTCTTCTTTGATGGAGTTTCTCACTTCATCACCAGCTCTATCGGAATCTTCCTCATCATCTCAGAGCTCTCCCTCTTCAAGAAATACTTTGAGAATTTCTGGCCTCTCCTCTGTCCCCACAATGGTTTTCTCTTCCTCGGTCTCTCCATGTTAGCTCTTGGTTTCAATATCCTCGGTAACTTGAACAAGAATGCCACTTCTGTTCAAAACTTAGGGTTACCTATGTGGCGTGTGGTTATTTCTTCGGGATGTCTTTCAGCTATTTTAGGAGGTATCAATTGTATAGCCGTAAGTCCTCTGTCCTTCTACCCCTTTCCCCCCTTCCCCCCCTACTCTTTCATCACAAATCCACTAACAAACTCACAGTCCCAAATCTTCACCACCAAAACCAAAACCGCACGCCAACTCCGCGCTCACGGCGCCACCGACACCCCCAACCCCTACGAAAAACGCCTCTCCCTCCCCTCCTCCATCAACAACGATCTCCCCTCCTACTACAGCAATCCTGCCGAACGCCGCAAATCGCGCTTCCCCTTCCGTCTCCCTCTCCGCGCTTCGCAAATCCACATCTCCAAACCCGTCATCTCAGACCCGCAACCCTTCCACCCAGATCTCGAAGTCGGCGAAAGCTACGATCATCAAAAAAATGATAGAAGTAGTCCCATCGTTCCCGGTGTCGAGAGACCACCTACCGCAATGCATCCTGCGAATTTGAGACCCCCGCCTGCACCCAGAAGTAGCATCTATAGTGTTGCGAGTAACGTGACGAGGTTTACTAGGATTTAGTCAGGGGTGGGAAGGTAGATGGTTTTTGGCGTGAGTAGCGTGCTCATTTGGCGGGAGAGGATCAATAGTTCAATCAAAAAGTATAGCATAGCATAGCATAGGTAGCGTAGGATAGGATAGGATGGGATAGGGTAAATAGCGAGATTTTGATAATCCGGGAAGGAATACGTTACGAGGGAATTGGTGTTTAGGGGTGTTTAGGGAATGGACGGATATATGGAATACCCCAATGATCCTTTTTTGCTTTCTTGATTTTTTTGTATTTTTTTACCTTCTTGTCTTGTCTTTTTTCATATACATAAAAGGGGGTTGATGAAGTAGGATGGATAGGATGGGATGATATGGGATGAATGAATAAATGAATGAACACATGGATTCCCTACTTAATGATTATACACGAATTTCATTTCATTTCTACGATATACCCACCTCCAGGTTGTAATTAACCGATTTCTTTTCATAATCCTTACTTACTTACTTTTACTTTTACTTCTAACTCACACTTTACTTGACTTTTCGAAATATTTCCAATTGCTCACTGTGATTACTAGGTAAGATTATACTGATTGATATCTTGACTGATATTCGTGTTCTTGTAGGTAAAGTAAGTAATAAGTAGGTGAGTGAGTGAGTGAGTAACTTTCATAACGCCATATTTGAGATTCCTTCATACCTAGATATGTTTCATAACATGTCCTATTATGCTATGTTATGTTATGATATGTTATGCGATGCTATCCTTCTTACTTCCAATTTCACTCCCGCTCCCGCTCCCGCACTTTCTCTCGCTCGCTCGCTCGTCTCCTTGTCCGAATCAGGCTAGAAAATAAAAAATACAAAAACATCCATTCATCAATCCCGCAAACCCAAACCCAAATCCCAATTACCCCTCCACCCCTTCCTCTATCCCTCTCCCCCTCCCCTCCCTCCCTCCCACCCATCAAACAAAAACAAACCCAAAAACCCTCAAATATACGCGCTAAAATCCCCCTCACTCCCCATCCCCACCCCCTCCCCCTGCCGACCAATCCTCGCCTTCGTACTCCCAATCCTCTTATTCTCCCTTGCATCTACACTTACCGGTCTGCGGCCCGCCCCCTTCACCATCCGCGCATTGGGTCCCACGGTGAGATTTCCCATTGTGGGGGATTCTTCGCGGGCTTCGTGGGGGGTTTGTTCTGGATTTTTGTTTTGAGAAAGGGAGTGCGAATGAGAATTAGAATGTGAATGTGAATGTGAATGTGAATGCGAGGTTGAGTGGGGATGTGAAGCAGAGGTGTAATAACCATCTCCTTTCAAATCCGCTTCTGTAGATCTTCGCAACGCTGGATTCTGATTCTGGTCATTCCAAATAGAATCTGCAGATTCTCCGAGATCAGGGGTATACGGATTCGACAGAAAGGGCGAGAAGTGCGGGATGGCGAGTGTGGAACTTCTTCCTCTCGATGTATTTCCCGTCGCCCTTGCACCTCCTATTCCAGATCCGCTCGTACTGCCGTCCAAGGGGGGGAGTTGCGGGATTTGGGGAATCGTCGTGGTAGTGCCGTGGCGTATGAAATTTGGCTGCGAATCGACATCTGTGCTTTCGCCCATGCTTTCCCAGCTGCCGGCGCTGAATTCGCTGGGGAGGATGTCGCTGCCATTTTCGGTTTCTGTGGTTTGTTGTCTTGTTCCTCTTTCTCTTTCTCTTTCTCGTTCTCTTCTATCTATTTCTAAAAGCTGCGTATGCCTACTCTGACTCTCAGAAATATTTCCCGAGTTAGGCACTTGCTCTTGACGAATCTGTAATTCCTGCATACTCGGACTCACACTCTCGAATCTACTATCCAAGCTGACCAAACTGTCGCTACCCTTCAATCTGCTTTTGCTAAACGTAGCCTGGATATACGATCTCAACTGTCTGGTTCCTTCTTTAGCGCTCGAATACCCATTCGGATATGTTATTCCCAACGAATCGTTATTGATTCCCGCACTAGCAGCTTGTACTTCATCTCCAACATGTACTTCTTCCGGCACGGTTGGCGAATCCGCATAACTTCTTCTTGCCTTGCGACGCACAGAGGCCATACCCCCTCCGCTGAAAAAAGGAGATGCACCTCCGCGACGAGAGACTGGTCGTGTATTAATGCTACTATACGACATTCTACTATTTCCTCCGGTTTCCGACTCCCAGATTGGTGCCGGGGCCCGAGGACTCTTAGGTACGGGTTTGATGCTTAACATTCCATTGCCGCCACTTGGCGATACCGTTGCGTGGCCGAATTTCAAAAGGTCAGTGGAGGTGGTTGAGTATACGCTTGTTGCACTGCGATGTTTATCAACATCGGTATCCAGAGTATGAACCGTTTTCCACGTGCGAGAATTGCGTGCGAGACTGGGATGTTGACCATGTCCTATACTTCCTCTGCGACCTGGTGAGTTCAAGATATCGAATGAAGAAATAGATTCTCGAGCTCCGTGGCCAAGCCCGCTCAATCGTTTATCTACACCTTCTGCCAATGCGAAATTGAGA